TTTGGAAAATTCATTTTTAGCATTTTAGGAATTTTCTCACTTTTCTTCCAAATTGACATCCTTAGTGAAATATAATGATAATGCTTTAAAGATATAAACAGATAAATGTGCAAAAAAAATAAGAAATAAAATAATAATAATAAAAAATAAGAAAGAAAAAAAGAGCCCTTTTGGAATTGATTGCCTCTAACTATAAATTGATGTGCAATTTGGCCGAGGGCGATTTATCGCCCGAGGCCCGAAATTTTTTGAAAGAATCTCCGGTTCTGGCGAAAAATCACCGGTCCGACAAGCTTAATCTGTGAAATATAATGATAGTGCTATAAAGATATAAACAGATAAATGTGCAAAAAAATAAGAAATAAAATAATAATAAAAATAAGAAAGAAAAAAGAGCCCTTTTGGAATTGATCGCCCGAGGCCCGAAATTTTTTGAAAGAATCTCCGGTTCTGGCGAAAAATCACCGGTCCGACAAGCTTAATAAGGAATATTACTTTTTTACTGAAAATCAGAGTTCAGTAATTTCAACTTTCTCATGAGTTTGGAGTGCTCAAAGGACTCTGATTCTATGTAAAAAAGTTATGGTGATATCATATAGTGTAAAAATGTGGTATATATTCCCCAATTTTAATATAATAAATTAAAGATCTTTATATATCTTTTATATCACGGTATTTGGAAAATATTACGCGATAAAAAGATGAACATATGAAAATGCATCAAAAACAACACATTCGCCCTGCTTTTTTTTAATCTGGATTCCTGATGATAAACATAAAAAGTAGTTGTTTTCGAAAAAAGTAGTAGCCATTTGTGACGTATATATTGCATTACCTCCTTTGGATATTGTTGTTTTATCAGATTTAGTCCGGAAGATATAAATATATGTATTGCCATCATTACTAAAATATGCTCCATTGCCATTTCGACAATTGTTCTGAAATATACAATCTTCAATATAAAGTTTATCTTGAGGATGACCATGAAAATAAATTATTCCACCAAAAGTATTTGTTTGAGTATTATTTATAAAATTAGATTTCATAAGTTTTGCACTTAATGTAAAAGTATAAACTGTACCAAAATTTGATGCATGACATGAATCAAAATAACTACAGCTGATATTTTCCACATATGAAAGTACTAAGCTATGAATAGCTGATCCATACCTTGATTGGCAATTTGAGAAATTTACTCCTTTAATATTGTTTTGTCCTAGATATTGATGTATTGATCCATCATTACTTTTAATACATAAAGAAATAGAACCTTCAGTAATTATACTCTTCACTTGTTCAAAATTAATGAAACGATATGTGTTATTAAAGGAAGAAAAATGGTTATTAACAAAATTAGATTTCCCTTTAATATATATTGTGTAATAAACAGAAATTCATCAAAAGTGACAGCTCTCAATTTTTTGACATTTGTAAATTCTAAATTGAATGAGAAAAATGAAATAATACTAAGCATAATACAATATTCTAGATTTAATTATAATTAGGAAAAAGTTAGTTTTGAGAGTACTTTTCATAGGCATATAGAATGAAATCTTCTGAAAAATAATATCACATAAACTCATATTATTTTCTAATATATAACTATTTTATATAAAAATCAAATTCAATGATCTTAAAAGCGAAGGATAAACCTCAAAATTTACGAATATAATGAGTGGGAATATAATGCTTATCTATCATAAAACCATATGAAATATCAATTTTTGCTTTACGCCTAATTTTTGACGACAATTAGCAAAAAATGTTAAATGTTAACACTCAGTCCATTTGAATATGAAAAATAAAATTGACTTTGATTAAATGTTTTTATTTATCATGCAATTCTTCTTGCGACCAAAGATTTGAATAAAACTTCAAAAAATAAGATAGCTTAAAAAATAATATACGGTAGTGTTTACTAATAGATGAATAGTATATAAATTCTATTAAAATGGATTTGATCCAAAAAAATATATAAAATTTGATCATAAATAAAATCGTTTTAAATTACTTCTTCATTTAAATTACCCAGATTTTCCTTACTTTTACCACTCCCCATGTAATTTCTGGGGAAAACGATAATTCATTTTTTTTATGGATGAATAGATCGTTTTCCTAGAAAGGACCTCATATCTCTGGCTAAAAAGAGTGTCAGATCCTAAATAGGTTATTGATCTAGTGTACAAATCCAATAAAAAGCCTATTTTTTGGCTTTTTTGGTGCTCATTTTTTCGAAGATCTACATGAATATGGGGAAACCATCGGATTTTTTTGGTTAACCCACATCTTCATGTAGTCTGGACTATCTTTCCTCGAAGGACCTCTTTACGGGTGTAAAAACTCATAAAGTTCTCAAAAGATTCATTCTCGATCTCCATGCTGAAAGAATTTACAATAAAAAAGAGATCTACGCATCAAACTACAGCCATAAATGAACTGAACCCCTAAAGCTCAGCTCTTAGTTTATCAAAAACGTCGAAATCCTTCTCATTGCAATCAAATTTTCTCAATAACTCATAAGAAAAATCGAATTTTGATTAAGCCGATGTTATAGGTATCACAAATACTACAAACTTGAGCAATATCGAAATTGCCAGCAAAAGTTTGAAATTGCATTGCTCATATTTGTTTTGTAAACTAAAAATCTGCTTATATTATTCATTAATTTTTTATATATTATTCATATACTTTAATAAAAACAATACTATTTCACCTTAAAAATGAATTTCATAAGTCAATATTATTTTTTTGAAAATGTATCAATTTTCGATTAAAACAACATGAGAATAAAATTTACGCAAAATTATTTTAAAAAATGGTTTTAAAAATTTACAATTGATTAAGAATAAGATTGCAAGAAGTTTTGAAGTTTAATTTTAAGAAAAAAAATTCGGATATTATTCATGGATCTAAGTAATCTGATATTTGAGTATCGGCACTATGCATAAAACATATATTTATAGTTTTTTTGGATTTTTATGATTTTAAATATATTCAAATTTGGCAATCCAATAGATTTTTAAAAAATAGGTAAATAAAAATAGATTACATATGCAGCAGATTTAGAACATGAAACAAATCTTATAGTGACCCAAAAAAAAATTCATGATCCAAAAAAGAAAAATATTGGCTAAATGGGAATCAAACCTTGGCATAATGAATCATTATGTTGGATGTTTCCACTACACCGGCAGTTCGAAAAATACCCTTGGTGGTTCTATTTAATAGCTACTCCCAACGATAGGCGGTGTCCCCAGCTTTAGAGGGGTGGTAAAAGTAAGGAAAATCTGGGTATAACAATTATTTTTGATTTTATATTTTTTTGGATCAAATCCATTTTAATAGAATTTATATACTATTCATCTATTAGTAAACACTACCGTATATTATTTTTTAAGCTATCTTATTTTTTGAAGTTTTATTCAAATCTTTGGTCGCAAGAAGAATTGCATGATAAATAAAAACATTTAATCAAAGTCAATTTTATTTTTCATATTCAAATGGACTGAGTGTTAACATTTAACATTTTTTGCTAATTGTCGTCAAAAATTAGGCGTAAAGCAAAAATTGATATTTCATATGGTTTTATGATAGATAAGCATTATATTCCCACTCATTATATTCGTAAATTTTGAGGTTTATCCTTCGCTTTTAAGATCATTGAATTTGATTTTTATATAAAATAGTTATATATTAGAAAATAATATGAGTTTATGTGATATTATTTTTCAGAAGATTTTGTGTTCTTCTTCAAAATTTTATTTTTTTATTAAAAAGAATCTTTACAAAATATACATTTACTTTAATTAATATTTAAAAACGTGCTCTATCAAAAGTTCCAAAAATTCAATATTTTAGCTTTTCTGAGGTGTCACTTTTGATGAATTTCTGTTTACAACAATTGTACCTTTACCATTAGAGAAACCGTTTTGTTCGAATAAAATGTAATAATCATCTTTATTTTCAAAGTATATCGCATAATTTGACAAATCTGTGAAAAACGATTTATAAACAAACGCGTTATTAGCATCCGAAATGTTTGGATTGATTTCAGTAATAGGCATTGGGCTCGAAACATTAAAATATCTTCTCCATACTTGTTCAGAATTTTGGTCCAAGCTGAATCCCTTGTTATTTTATTAAAATTCATGTTGTATAAGAAGATTTCAACATATTATTATTTTGTATTAATTTAAAGTTGTTATATCCTATTCATTTGAAGAGAAGTAGATACCTATATAAGAAATTATTGATCCCTAAAAAAATTCAATTTGACAATTGTATCGGCATAACACTTGAGAGATTTCTATTTATATGATTGTTTTATAATCATTAGCTATTATCTCGAATTAGAGAGATAAGTTAAACCGATCCATAGTTCATAAATGACTTTTTGAGAGAATCTCATATAATTAATTGTATGTTTTCTCTCAAATACAACAGTTAATAAATAAAATAAATCCTTTTTCAAAGGTAGTCCTACGAAGGATCTAAATGACAGATTTCCAAATAAATATGATAAACAAAATCAGTAGGCTCCAAATATAAATGATATAATCTTATTTTGATAAAATCATGAAATACTTTTTAAATTCCATGATTTTTACAATGCAGATAATTTAACTATACAGGATAGTTACTGTTCCTATCGTTTCTTTCATTTCTGGCATAACGAGATGGAAGGAAGATATCATTATCCATAAAAAAAATTGCGTAAATAGTGCATCCTTATTAAAGAAATGAGAACATTTAAAAAGATGTTGGTAATATTTAGTTATATCTGTCTTGTGAATGGATTTGTCACTGTCAGCTTGTTTTCATAATTTATCGGTGCAACACGCCGATGGCATCACTGATTTTATAAAATCAAGAGTCAAGTTTGGAATTTGTGAGGGTACAAAATTTTTCGATTTTTAAAATGCCCCAATAAATTTAAAAACAATATGATTGGCAAACAAACAAATTTTTATGAAATTCTCTCCATGGGAAAAAATTTTTTCATGAATGTTTCTCCAAATATTGACCAAATCGAGCTGTATATGAGTGTTGGTAATGAAAATTCACCAGAAGAAATCAATACAGCTCAGAGTGGTTTAAATGAATGGTTCAAATCTTCTTTAGCTATAAATGATTCATGCGCAATTTTATATAGAACAAGAAGCGAACGAGCAAAATTCCAAGCAGCAACATACGTTAAAAACAATATTTATTCCAATTGGAGCTATCTTAATCCAGAAGATCGACCAGAAATCAGATCTTCACTTCTTGAGTCATACTTTAACGGTAATAACAAAGAAAATATTAACGAATTAATTGCAATAGCTATAGCTAGAATCGCAATTTTCTCCGTTCTTGAAGATTGGCAGACATTTCTTACAGATTGCCTGTTTGATGAAAATACACCAGACATTTTAAAATCATTGAAGCTCCTTCTTTTTACTAAGTTCTGTAACGAAGTAGAATCATGTCAATTTCTCACATCAGGAACTAAATCAAAACTTCGCGAGCTCTGTATTGAAAATACGAGTTTAATACATCCATGCATCTTATCTGCTTTTAGAGAACCACAGATATTACCATACGCAATCAATGCTTTCAATTGTTTACTCTCATGGTGCAGTTTATCAGAGATTGTAAACCCAGAAATCATGGTTTTCCTCTGTACAGAATGGATGGCCACCAAATCTACACAAAAACCTACATTAGAATGCCTACAAACTATATTTATTAAAAGAACAGATTCAGCCATCGGATTTCGTCAGTTTGCAGCATTAGTTGTATACGGAATGACACATTTCCCCGATCCTACCAACACGAATCTCCCTATTACAGCTAACAAAGACGTATTAGATTTTCTTACGAAATTTCTTGCCAGATTTTTATCAATTATTGATTTAGTCTTCTTCCCGATACCAGAGGAAGCCAGTCCAGAGGATGTTGCTGAGTTAGAAAGGGAAGCGAACCTAGTTTTGGAAGGACTTCAACAATTTGACATAAAAAGAGAAGATTTCGCAGCAATGATTGCAAATCTTTACGAAATTGTTCTTTCTACAAGTCCTGATAGAATCTCACATGATTTCTGGAAGTTGTGGAATGATATAACAAGGAAAATATACTTTGAAAGAATCAACAAAAAAGCAACACATCCAATTTACGATTTCTTCAAAGATTTCTTCCCAATGATGAGAGAATCCATTTACGAGATCCTTCCTTCAACAATTGATGATGAAGGACAAATTCCTTTTGAAGTAAGAAGTTGTTGGTCGATGATTCTCCAAATAGATCCAGAAAACATGGTCCAATTTTTAAATGAACAAGAGAATTCTGAGAAATTATGCATCGCGTTAGGTAGTTTAGAATTTGCTATTGATACTGATGCCCAAATGCAGCCAATATTTGAAATAATTCCTCAACTTATTGAACAAGTCAATGATGAAACAAATGAGAAATATTTGATTGCACTTTTGTGCACTGTTTCTCATTCTGTGAGATTTTTCATACAAAACAGAGAAGTTTTTCGCAGCGCAATACAGTTTATTTGCGAATGCATTGGACTCTCTGAATCTGTTGCTATTGCTGCTGTTAATGCTTTGGCATATGTTATTTATAGACAAGAAAGTGTCTTCTTTGAAAATGATCTTGAATTAGCGAATTTCGTTGTAACATCATCAGATAATTTCTTCCAATTTCTTGATTTAAATGGTATTAGATTATTATACCAGCTTTGCAGTAGATTGATTAGCAAGTTCCCTGAGAATGTTATACAGGATAACTTCTTTGAATTGTTTAGACCTATTTTTGACCATTTAAAGATGTTTTACGAGGATCCTTATAACCAAGAAAACATTAAACAGGCAACAAATGATTTGGACATTATATCAAATACTGTTCACGATGTTCCTGCAAGTACTAATTACATTGGACAGATATTTGTACCAATACTTCTTGAAATTGGTCCTCACGTTTATCCTGTTAATGATTTCATTGATGTTTCAGCTTCTTTGTTACTAGCATTGGGAAGTTTGATGCAAGGAGCAGAATACTCTCAAATAGAACCTCATTTCATTGAGACATTGGGACAATTAAGACCAACAATTCATGCTGTTACATCTGTTTTTAGTTTCATTGCAATTGTTAGATCGAAATTCCCTGAAGTTGATCAACATTTTGGAAATATAATGCAAGAATTTGTGTCTCCTGCATTAGAATCCGATGATCCACCTTATGAACAGATTTTGAAGATGTTGACTGAGTTTTCTTTCGCTGTTGTTGATCCTAATTTCATGCTAAAACTATTCCAAACAACAGCACTTGAGTTCTGTTCAAGAGATGTAAATCAAGCTGCTTTAGAATGTTGGACGAAGTTAATTAAATGTCAGTCAATTGATAATCAAGTTGCAATGAACATTTATAAGTCAACATTTGAAGAAATAATGACAATTGCGTTTTCTATTTTGATTGACCAAGTTCATAATGCTGTTTATGATAAAATTGTTGAATTCATTTTGATGAATATTCAACTTGCATCTGATTACAGATTAATCAATGCAGAATTAACAGATACATTGGTAGGAATCATCACAAAGATCGTTCCTCAAGAACCAAGGCCAAATATGTACTACGAATTCGTTACTTGCCTTGAAAGAGTTTATACATCAATACACAGATTCTTCAGAGCAATTACTGATTTCTTGACTGGTCTTCATAAGGTTTCTCCTGTTGATACTGACGTGTTTAAGATGGAAGAGTATTCTAGACTTGAATTCCTTCCAATTAAGTTAGATAAGAATCCATTCCTTAAAGATTTCATTTCAGGAAAGAATCCTGATGGAGTTTTGAGGCCAAAGAGTGTTGTTGCCAATTTCAAGAAAGTTATCGAGAAAGTCACTGCTCAAATAGTTTGAAATATAATATATTATCATTCTTATATATTTTATAATCTTTTATTTATTTGTTTTCTTATAATTCTATATATATATATTCTAAAGATTTTTTTGAATTAAGTTCACTTACCTTTTCTTTTTCTTAAAGTATTTTGGTTATCTTTAATCTTGTGATTTGAAAGGTCTAAACGAAGGGTAAATTCGGTTCTATTATATTTCTAACTCAACTTTTACAAAATTGTGATCATAAATACCATCAAATTGAGTGTATAATTACGATGGTATGATCATAAAATCGGAATTATTTCATTAAAGTCAGATGAACGTAAGGATCCTTAAGTTATATTGCTTATACATTTAAAATCTGTAACCCTATTTTTTGTTCTCATCAAGTATAAATAATTCTTCGTTATATCAAGTCTTACTATAACATTTTCAAGAAATTGTACAACGAGTATCATCCAAGGCAAGCAAGAGAACTCATCCCGATTCTTGATTACTTTTACTACAAAGAATATGGTGTTGTTTTAGTCGAAAATCATAAAAATCTATTTGACAGTTTCAAAGATGTCACATTTGATGTTAATGAAGAGTCATCTATTTACAGAGCAATCATTGAAGACAATAAGAAGAATTTCATAATCTATTCGCAAAAGGATTCATTTGATTCAGAGCAGAGATTGAAGAGTTTATTGTATCCTGCTTCACAAGAAGGATAGACATTCACCGAATTGTGCTGTTTTCATGGTTCAGTTAATATTTTCAAGTACCTTATTTCAGAGTTCGAAACCAAGATCACTTCTACCTGCCTTCGTTTCTCATTCTTGAGTGGCAATCCAGAAATCATGAGTGAGTGCCTGAAATCTCAAGTGCCAGATAAAGAATCCATGAAGTATGCAATCATTTCACACAACATTGACTTCGTTGCATTCTTGTATAATGAACACAAGATTGGAATCGATCTCGCATCATGCTGCAAGTATTGCAATGTGCAAGCATTCCTAATGCATTACGCTTTGGAAAATGATACTGATGAATGCTTTGTCTATTCCCCATCATTTATGAGTCTTCCTCTGTGCGAGTATTTCATAAAGAAAGTCGGAAATATCAACAAGAAGGGCAAAAGCGACTGTGGAGCTCTCAATATCGCATCTGCTAATAACTTCATAGAAGTTGTTGAGATTCTACTAAAAAAGGGAGCATTCACCAATGTGAAAGATAGTAATGGAAATGGTCCCCTCCACAATACAGCTCTGAATAATTGCAAGGAGTGCGCAGAAATTCTTCTTTCGCATGGAATGAAACCTAGTGTCAAGTGAGAGAAAGGAGAGACTCCACTCCATGTTGCAGCATTGTTCAATTGCAGAGATACAGCAAAAGTCCTCCTTGAACACGGTGCAGATATTGAAGCACTAGACAAAAATGGCCATAACGCACTCTTCTATGCAATCAATAATGATGCGAATGAAACAGCAGAGCTCCTACTCATGGTGCAAATCTGAATATCAAATTTGAATCACGAAGATGTGCAATTCATCTGGCAGCACTAAACAATATGATTAAGATAATTGAACTCATGCTATCAAAAGGAGTAAATATCGATGCAAAAGATGAAGATGGACTAACCGCTTTTCATTACGCAACAATTTATCACACAATATTGATGTTTCTTGCTTCTTCACTATGCCGCAATGAAGAATAATATTGAAGAAGCTGAGTACCTCATCCATTTGGGATTAGATGTAAATGCAGTCGATGATGAAAATAAAACACCTCTTCGTTATGCAGTAGAAAATGGCAACACAGAAATTGCAGAGTTCCTGATTGCAATTGTTTCAGACATCAATGCAGATAAAAACACAATGACTGAGCTTCTTTATTATGCAGCCATAAATGGCCACACAGATGTTGCAAAACTTATTGTTTCAAATGGCGCAGACGTTAATCATAAATTCTTTTATTACAAGAAAACAGCGCTTCATATTGCCTGTGAAATGAATAACATAGAATTAGCAGAATTTCTCATTTGGCGCGGTGCTGATATCAACGCGAAAGATGAAAGAGGATGTTCTCCCATTTGGTATACAATCAGATCGCCTGATTATCAAAAAAGAATTGAATTAGTAGAATTTCTCATATCTTATTTGTGCAGATATCAATACAAAAGATAAACATGGATTGAGTCTTCTTATTTGTGCAGCAAGTTCGCTTGAAACAGAACTTGTTAAATGCCTCATTTCACACGGGGCAGATATCAAAGCAGTTGATTCTCATAACAAAACAGCACTCCATTATTCTGCTTCTTTCAAATTTTATAATGATAATTCAGATATTCTTATTTCGCATGATGTAGATATCAACGCAAAAGATGACATGGGAAAAACTGCTCTCCACCTTGCTGCAGAAAGTCAAAACATCGAACTAGCTTTTATACTTATTTCTCATGGTGCAGACCCATACATAAAGGATATGTTTGGGGATACACCTCTAGATATTGCTACAAAAAAGCGCAATCAAGAATTGATAGATGAATTGATTCCCCCAAAAGAAGAACAATAAATTCAAAGATTATTTATGAAACAACACCTCTATATGATCCAAATTATATTTTAATTTTCAATTTTTTATTATAAATTTTTTTATTATTTTATGAATTTTCAAATGATTATTTTTTCCAAATTATTGAACATATACCATCAAACATTTTCAAAATATAAAAATTGAGAAATTGAATAGGATAATAATTTGATTTATCATTCGTTGATAGAATATTTCCACATGCCGTTGCTGCCGATTGCTTCAACAGAAATTTATCTCTCAATATATTAATGGATCAAAAGAAAATATTTCTTATCCATCCTTAGTTGTGATCGTTGAGGATTTCTTATAAAAATCAAGATTTAGAAATAATTAAACAATTAAAATGAGCAAATATGAAAGATGGTAGGAAGAATGGAAACTTTAAGTTATTTTATGCTTTATTTTATTTCACACAGCTCCATTTTTGATAAGGAGATTTCTCATTCTTTCAGATTTGGCTTGCTGAAGAGCAGTTTCATTCCAAACATTCTTTGCATTGATATCTATACCTTTTAATGTAAGAAGAAACTGAACGACATCATAATGATCATATTTTACTGCTATCATTAATGTTGTCCAACTGTCAACATTTGGAGAGTTTGGATCTATATTTGGCTGCGATGCAAAGAACTTAACAGCTTCTAAATTGTCTTCTCTACAGAATATATACAAAGCATTTCGTTTTGAGTCACCTAAGAATGAAGGATCATCTCCACATTGAACTAACATTTTTGCAAGATTTAAATTATTTTTAGAAGTTGCTTTTGTTAAAATTTTATTGCCATAATAGTCTTGGATATCGTTATACCCATATTCTATAGCTTTCTTCATCGTTTCTAAGATATTCTCGTTACTGCATTGATCAAGTATTCCATAAATTTTTCTAAAATTATCTTTCTTTTTTTCGATTTTAGTCAATTCTTATAAAATTTCATTTTTCTTTTCTTCGAACTCTTCTTTCTGATCTTGTACTTCTTCTACAGATTGTGGCTCTTCTTTTACTTGAGATAAGGAGATTTGAAATTATGTAATTTCGACGCCGTTACCCTCTCCATTTGCCACAAAAATGTAAGGGATATATAACCCTTTTGTATAAATTAATATTTTATTGTTATTTTTTTAAAAATAATACTTCAATCATGTTAAAGTTGAATTTTTTTGATGCAATAATAACCTTAAACTCGAAATCCTTTGATGTAAAAAATAACCTTAGTCAAAATTTTTACAAAGGATGTCGAGTTCAAAGCAACTAAAAAATGAAAATTTGTGCATTTATAATGACTTTAAGCCAATTAACGTATTTGAATGCCCAGATCAAGCATCAAAAATTATTTGGAGTGTCAATTCCAATAATATTAAACAAATATCTTCACAGATTATCGAATTAATAACAACCCACAAAATAACTATCCAAATGGCGCTTCGTTTGATTGATATTTTTTCACAAATTCGTGATAAAGAAATTAAATTATTTTTTATACTTTATCAAAAGATATCAAACGCATTTTCATACATCAATGAACCGGTAAATAAGAGATTAGCTATGCTTCTATATTATCAAGAATTCAAATTTGAAAACTTCAAACCTGAAATAGAAGAAGAAATTCTGAATTTATATTCAACAGAATCTCCTTTATACTATATTGCATGGGATAAAGTTGATGATCTTAAGAGTAAATTCCCAAATCTTGATATTAATCAGGAGATTAAAAATATCACACCACTTGATTGTTCAATTAAATATGGCTCAGAGTTGTGTTTCATTTACTTGAAAAATTTAGGAGCTCAATACACTAAATACTCTGAAGAATATGCTGTTCAAGGCGGAAATAAAGAGATTTTTATGCAAATGATAGAAGATTGTAAATCATTTGATAACATGATTAATATAGCATTGGGTTATAGAAACTATGAAATTGCTAAGTATCTTGAATCAAATTTTGGGCAAACTCCTGATTCAATAGCAGAAAGTATGTATTTCGGAAATTATGATATTGCATCTTATTTACTTTCTAATGGAGAAGATATCAACAAAATTTATAATCTCTTTCTTTTCATATTCATCATTGTTTAATGTAATTCTCTTTCTTTTCATATTCATCATTGTTTAATGTAATTCTCTTTCTTTTCATATTCATCATTGTTTTATGACATTTTCTTTCTTTTCATATTTATCATTATTTATTTACATTCTCTTTCTTTTCATATTCATCATTATTTTATTACATTCTCTTTCTTTTCATATTCATCATTATTTTATAAAATTCTTTAGATATCAATGAATGCCCTCTTAGTATTGCAATCAAAGCGAATTCAATAGAAATTGTCAAATTCCTAGTTGAGCATGGTGCAGATGTTAACATGAAACTTATTCTTTTTCTTTTCATATTTATCATTATTTTATGGCATTCTCTTTCTTTCCATATTCATCATTGTTTAATTTAATTCTCTTTCTTTTCATATTTATCATTGTTTAATTTCATTCTCTTTCTTTTCATATTTATCATTGTTTTATGACATTTTCTTTCTTTTCATATTTATCATTGTTTTATGGCATTCTCTTTCTTTTCATATTCATCATTGTTTAATTTAATTCTCTTTCTTTTCATATTTATCATTGTTTTATGACATTTTCTTTCTTTTCATATTCATCATTATTTTATAAAATTCTTTAGATATTAATGAATGCCCTCTTAGTATTGCAATCAAAGCGAATTCAATAGAAATTGTCAAATTCCTAGTTGAGCATGGTGCAGATGTTAACATGAAACTTATTCTTTTTCTTTTCATATTTATCATTGTTTTATGGCATTCTCTTTCTTTTCATATTTATCATCATTTTATAGAATTCTCTTTCTTTTCATATTTATCATTGTTTTATATATTTCTCTTTCTTTTCATATTTATCATTATTTTATGGCATTCTCTTTCTTTTCATCTTTATCATTGTTTTATGACATTTTCTTTCTTTTCATATTTATCATTGTTTTATGGCATTCTCTTTCTTTTCATATTCATCATTGTTTAATTTAATTCTCTTTCTTTTCATATTTATCATTGTTTTATGACATTTTCTTTCTTTTCATATTCATCATTATTTTATAAAATTCTTTAGATATTAATGAATGCCCTCTTAGTATTGCAATCAAAGCGAATTCAATAGAAATTGTCAAATTCCTAGTTGAGCATGGTGCAGATGTTAACATGAAACTTATTCTTTTTCTTTTCATATTTATCATTATTTTATGGCATTCTCTTTCTTTTCATATTCATCATTATTTTATTACATTCTCTTTCTTTCCATATTCATCATTATTTTATGAAATTCTTTAGATATCAATGAATGCCCTCTTAGTATTGCAATCAAAGCGAATTCAATAGAAATTGTCAAATTCCTAGTTGAGCATGGTGCAGATGTTAACATGAAACTTATTCTTTTTCTTTTCATATTTATCATTATTTTATAGAATTCTCTTTCTTTCCATATTCATCATTATTTTATTACATTCTCTTTCTTTTCATATTCATCATTATTTTATAAAATTCTTTAGATATCAATGACTGCCCTCTTAGTATTGCAATCAAAGCGAATTCAATAGAAATTGTCAAATTCCTAGTTGAGCATGGTGCAGATGTTAACATGAAACTTATTCTTTTTCTTTTCATATTTATCATTATTTTATAGAATTCTCTTTCTTTTCATATTTATCATCATTTTATGGCATTCTCTTTCTTTCCATATTCATCATTATTTTATGACATTCTCTTTCTTTTCATATTCATCATTATTTTATAGAATTCTTTAGATATCAATGACTGCCCTCTTAGTATTGCAATCAAAGCGAATTCAATAGAAATTGTCAAATTCCTAGTTGAGCATGGTGCAGATGTTAACATGAAACTTATTCTTTTTCTTTTCATATTTATCATTATTTTATAGAATTCTCTTTCTTTTCATATTTATCATCATTTTATAGAATTCTCTTTCTTTTCATATTTATCATCATTTTATGACATTCTCTTTCTTTTCATATTCATCATAGTTTAATCGCATTCTCTTTCTTTTCATATTCATCATAGTTTAATCGCATTCTCTTTCTTTTCATATTCATCATAGTTTAATCGCATTCTCTTTCTTTTCATATTTATCATTGTTTTATAAAATTCTTTCGATATTAATGAATGCCCTCTTAGTATTGCAATCAAAATTAAAGCAAAATATATTATCACTTTCTTAGTTGAACATGGAGCTACAAAAATCTAAAAATTATTTAAGGGTGCACTACGAGGATTAAAAAGCCCTCAATTTTTTCTGAGAGTTCTATCAATTTGCTAATCCTCCAAATTAATAAAAACTTATTTTTTTCTTTACAGGAATAGATTTTTTCGATTAATATACATCATTTAGAATCACATAAGGTAGCTTCATATCTTATATTACTTTGGTGGTCAAATATCAACTCTATGATGAATTTAGAAAATAAACATGATTTTCGAAAAAATTTTAACATGTTTATTTTTCTCATTATTTTGATCGAGAGCCATGATTTTTCTTTTTACGGAATCATTGGTACATATATGATGCTATTTATGCAATTTATTTTCAAAAAAAAAAAAAAAAAACTCGTTTTTCAAGGACCTAAAAAAAGGCTCAAAAATTTCATGAGAACGAAATCTGTGAAGACAATAAAGATAGTATATATTAATAAAGTGATATAAAAACCGAAAACACATTGAATGGTATATATATAGCACGAATTTCATTTAAACTGTATCGATCACAGTCACATTTTTGAATGGAGAATGTATTATAACAAAGGTCTTCATTTTCCATAATAGTAACACTTTTCCCTAATAACTTATTGCTTTTATATGCTTTAGTCACAAATATGGAAGGTACGCGATGAGCATTGTAAAAATTATTCTTTGTTTCGGTAAAAACGAAACTAGAACAATAATAAAGATATGAAATATTTGCTCGAGCTATTAGAAAATCTGAATAAGAAATATGGGATGGGAGTATTACAGTATTTAATCTATTGCACTCACAGAAAACGTAACCTTCAAATTTAACTTGAATTTCTTGTTCAAATATTATTTTCTCTAATTTACGCGCTGCAGAAAAGGCATATCCTTTTAATATTCTGACTGATTTTGGGATGAAAAGTTCTGTTATACTCGTTTCCCAAACAGTATCAGTTGAAATAATTTCTAATGTTGGAGGAAAGATTATAGAAGTTATCAAATTACAATACCTAAATGAATAGTTTGATGTTTGGATAACTTTATAGTATTTAATTCCATCATATGCATAATTCGGAATTGATACTTTGCCGGAAATTGCCTTTCCAGCAATTGGAGCATTTGGCATAGCTCCATTTGATAGTCCTATTTGGCATGTAAAGTTATCGAGTTTCTCAAAATTGAACTTTTGATATTGAAATCGATTAGAAATAGAAAAAATGTCATTTTTTTGATAATTTCACTCTTAGAAAACTGAAATTCATAGAGGCAGTGGAAACTTTGTACAACATCATCATTGGTTTCAGTAAATAAAATTTCACTTAAGGATGCACTTACATCTTTCTAACATTATATTAAATATATTAGTCATTTTTAAATCGTTATTCCTCCAATCAAAAAGTGTCACGACTAATCAAATATAGATCTGAGTTGATGTTTACATATCTATATATAAATTCTTTTCTGCCATAACTCAATATCCACATAGATTACTTTCTTATAATATTTGTTTTCTTATAATTCTATATATATATTCGAAAGAATTTTTGAATTAAGTTCACTTACCTTTTTTTTTCTTAAAATATTTTGGTTATCTTTAATTTAATTGTTAAAAAGTTCAACAGCCTTATTAGATACTATATAGTGATTTATATTAACTTTTTCCTACCAAAAATATTAACTTTTGATCTTAGAAAATTGGGACATCAAGCTTGGATATAAATGCACTCTTAATCAATATTATGCCGGCTTTTAACTCTCAAAATTATAAACAAAAAACATAATCTATTGTTTATGTATTTAATCTCAAGAATTCAGTTATTTATACTCTTCAAAGTTAGATTAATTTCAATAAAATGATAAAAAAATTGCAAACGCATTGAATGGTCGATATATTACTGGATTTTCACTTAAAATACAATCAGCTCTTTGAGGAGGAAAAGATTTATTAAGGCAGAGGTTTTCATTTTCCATAATTACAACACTTTGCCCTAATAATTTATTACTTTTATATGCATTAGTTACAAAAATGGAAGGTATTTTATAGGCACCTGCAAAATTATTTTTTGTTTCAGTAAAAACAAAACTAGAACAATAATAAAGATATGAGATATTTGCTCTAGCTATTAGAAGATCTGAATAAGAAATATTTGATGGAAGTATTACAGTATTTAATCTATTACACTCACAGAAAGCGTAACCTTCAAATATAGCTTGAATTCCTTGTTCAAAAATTATTTTCTCTAATTTACGCGCTGCGGAAAAGGCATATCCTTTTAATATTCGGACTGATTTTGGGATGAAAAGTTCTGTTATACTAGTCTCCCAAACAGTATCAGTTGAAATAATTTCTAATGTTGGAGGAAAGATTATAGAAGTTATCAATTTACAATTCCTAAATGCATAACTTGATGTTTGGATAACTTTATAATATTTGATTCCATCACAAGCATAGCACGGAATTGAAACTTTGCCGGAAATTGCTGTTCCAGCAATTGGAGCATTTGGTTGCCCTCCATTTGATAGTCCAATTTGGCATGTATAGTAATCTAGTTTCTCAAAATTGAACCCTTGATATTGAAATCTATTAGATATAGAAAAGTATCACTTTTTTAAAATTTGAAAATTTTCAATCTCAAATCTCTTTGTAAAATGAAATTCATAGAGGGGGCGAAAACATTTTACAGCCTCATTTTGAGATCCAGGAAATAAAGTTTCACTTAAGGATGCACTTCCTTCTTTATAATAGTCATTCCTCTTATCATAAAGTGACTAATTTTGTTTTAGTTGCTTGTCTATAATCCCGTAAAAAGTGTCAAAACTAGTCAAATATAGATCTGAGTTGATTCTAATAAATTATCCCGTGAATTAATCAACATTTTTGGAAAGTTGATGTTTGAAAACCTATAAAAAAGCACTTTGCTGCCATAATACAATATCCTCATAGACAAGGAGGCTATTGCTGAGGTATTGGGGCAGAAGAAATTATTTTTTTAATAAAAATATAATAAATTTATTAATACACAAAATAAATACAAATTATTGCTTTGTTCCTTGCTTATCTATTATAGATATCCATTCCCAATTGAAAGCCTCAAACCTTGGCTTCCTTATCTTTTCAGCCCATCCTCGATCGAATGTAACTAATGCGTCAAGAACTGAATTCGCCATTTGAGATAAAACTGAATTCTTACTTCCGCTGTGTTTAATAACAGCGTTAATGATTTCGTTATGTGAAATCAATGCTTTCCTTGTTTCAGTGTGGCAAACAAATCTATAGAAACAGAATAAACACTGTGTCTGTATATCCAAGTCATCATTATACTGCATGAAAACGCCAACAACGTGTTTAACAATTCCTTGTTCTTCAAGTTCTTGTGCTGGTTTGGAGAACAAAACAACACTGGAAACAAACATAACACACTCGAGTTGAAGCTGTGGAAGTGAATTCCGACTGCTTAAAATGCTAACAACGAGTTGTACAAAAGGTTGTTTGCTTACGAAAAATTTTGCACGTGTTGAATCCATTTTTGCTCTTGATGATACGGCAAAAATGTCGCAGAGTGCTTCCAGGTTATCCTTGTTGGCAATACATGCATCTACAATGGCATCGTCGAAGCCTGTGACCAGTTTTGGCTGATTGTCGGCGATATTTCGAATCAGATGCAGTAAAATGGCGCTGTCTCCACTTGTATGGTTCGCGGAATCAACGAACATCTGGCGAACATTCTGTGGAGTGAAGATCGGGCTCTGGGCTATCATTTGGGAGCATTTTATGTCGGTTGATAATCGCATAAGGATAACTAGAGCGATAACATGGTCTTGGTTGTTGCTGGTTGCAGCATGGATTAATAGATCAACGATTTTCTGGACTTGGAAGCTCTCAAAAGTGGGAGAATTTAATGATGCTTGGTAAAGGAACTTAATTAAGGATTGTCTGAGCTCCATGATATCACAGAGCTTTCCTATGTACTCGAAAACATTGTTTTTCTGGAAATTAGGAAGTACTTCCCTATGAAAACTGAAGGTATACATTAATTCTAAGCCTTCCTTCAAAACTGTTACAATTTTAGCTCGCTTGTTTGACTGGTCTGGTGTCCATCTAAATATATCTTGGCAAATGGCCGGAACAATCTCATCAAATGGGACATCTCCCCAATTTACAGGAATTAGTGAGATTCTACGTAATAATCTCAGAGAAAGTAGTAGTATTTCTAAGTCTCTTCTCTTGAGGACCGTGATTAATGGAGAAATGATATCTTTATTCATCATTTTTCTCATTGATGATATGTCCTCGCTAATATTATAAAGTAACGATACTGTAAGACGAATTAAATGATTCTGTGATTTGATATATGCATTTAGATCCTCCTTTGTGAATTTAGATGCTGCAATTTGAGTTACATGCAATTGTACGTGCAATAGACTCAACGACATAGCTCCGATCTTGAATCTGGCTAACGCCGACTGGTAATCTGGGTAGTACGAGATTCTCTCGAAGATAGTCATAATTTTAATACAACTTGGAAGCGAAGAAGTAGCGAATTTCTTGAGATTGTTGCATAGAGCGCTCATAAGAGGCTCGTGTCTGATTATCAGTGCAAGGTTTTTGTCTGTAAGAGAGATCTCCGCGAGAGATGAAAGAGTTTGCAAGCACTCGTTATTGTCACCCCAGTGGATTTTCTGGAGAGCGTTGTGTAATAATGAGTCTACATCATCTTTCGAGGACGAAGGCTTCATGACTGGCATTGATTCACTACAAACTGCTCCTGCTGGAGCTGTAGAAGCTAGTTTGGAGAGACCTTGCTCAATAGAAGGACTCCTTGTTGGATTTGCAGGTAATGATGTCGCTGTGCCAGCCGCTAAATCTGATATTGCTTGAACAACAACGGATCTTTTACATGATTGAAGAGCTTCGCATTTTGATATGGCTATATCGGCAATCTCTTCGGGATTAGATAGTGGTGTTATGTCAGGAAATGATATTTTAATTTCGCTAGGCTTTGAATCGGAGAATAAAGTATTGCAATCTGAATCTAAAACATCGACTTGAATATCGTAATGAACAACAATGGATTTGGATGCAGGAATGATATCAATGTTCCCTATAAAGAGCTGCCAAATTAGGCTGGCTTGGTCATCATCCGACTGCATATTTTATAAAAAAAAATCTAAAAGAACAAATTTTTTTGTTTTTTATTAAAGGTAGTCTCACGAGAAAACTGACGGTAAAAATTCGATGAAACCAGGTGCATTGTATAGTACACATATGTGGTAAATAAATGTCGATTAGCTTTGTAAAAAATATCCCACAGTTTTTGAGATCTTGAAAACGGCCATTCAAAAAGTCGAAAATTTTTCCGAGATGTTAATGGGCAAGACAGTTTTTCGACAAATAAATCGTAAACATGGGAATTAAAATAAGGCGTTATATTACATATATGGTAAAGGATATGGATGTGAAGAGCGTTAGTAGAATGGAAAGACTTTGAAATTTTAAAAAATTTATCCGGACTAAAAAATTATTTGATTATAAAAAACATATTATATATCAATTGCTATATAGAACTATCATAACAGATTTTGGAAAAGCCGCAAATCCCCAAGTTGGAGAATTCATTAAATACTAATTATTCAGCTTTTTATCAGAAAGGAAGGTAGTGTAGTGATTGGGAACGATATGCTCTTTTTGAATCTAAAAGGCAACTGTTCAAATCATAACATCTTTGTTTTTTTTTCTTATTCTGCCATTATTGTTTTTCCTTGTTATGATTCAAATTAAAAATATTTTAGTAAAGGTATTTTGGACATCATTTTTTCACATTGTCTCAATGCAAATGTTTGAAAATTTTGTAGGCAATATGACAACTCTTTCAACATTTGTTCTCTTTTATTAACTTAAACAGATTTAGGATCTAATTTCATGCCTTCGAAGACATTTAAACCATCTTCAACATAATTTATTGACAAATTGATAACAATTACTCATGAATGTCGTAGATTTAATATCCTGTCACTCAGCAACAAATTCGGGTTCAATAACAAAGCTCAGTAAAAACTTTACAGAAATTCTCCAATTTATTTTAGTGTCTTTTTGCGTCATTACGGCTGCATTTTCTTCTGCATCTGAACGCTGTGTTTGCAAGAAGACGAAATACAGAAACTTTCAACACAAGTAATCAGATTTTCTTGTCTTTCATGTTAAAATGCTTCATCTCGCTAGGTATACGTCATCTATTGGATGGATTGTTAGCTTTGTGTCCAAATAGCAAAAAAAAAGTATTAATTTAAATTTCGCATTTTGCATAAGTATACGCTTTAATTTATATCAAAACAGATTTAGATAGCTTAAAACAATATAGTTTACTCATAAATACATCTTGATAATTCACTTCTTCAATTTTCATAATCTTATATCCTGACCTATATCCTCTTATAAACCATATTTCTACTGAGATCTTCTTAAAGCATCTTTTTATCCCTATCTACGCCTCGAAACCCTATTTTTCCGGCGGAATATGAATCTTCGGGTCTCGCTGATTCGATTTCTGCAGTCAGATCGTAAAAATACCACTACATAGCCTGATAATCTCAATTTAAGTTCCTTAATTTTTTTGAAAAAAAAATTAAAACTCCCTTATCAAACATCATGCTCATTTTTACGAATTTCATTTTTCCTTTAAGTTTAAAATATACGCTTTTTAGCATGTTTATAATACATTTTCAATTTACATTTACATTTTTATTTTTGAATTGTTTATTTATATTTCCGTTTGAACAATAATATTTATTGAAAATTGTGAGAGAAACGGATATAATAAAAAAACACCATACAACAAAATTCACTTTTTTTCATACTTACGCGGATCACTCCTTTTCGGCCCAATATGCCGGAAATGATAAAACTCTCAGATCTTGTTGCTAAGATCTAAACTCTCGACTCTCAAATCTATTTCCTCAGATCTTGTTGCTAAGATCTAAACTCTCGACTCTCAAATCTATTTCCTCAGATCTTGTTGCTAAGATCTAAACTCTCGACTCTCAAATCTACTTCCTCAGATCTTGTTGCTAAGATCGATCTATTATACTCAATTTTACTTAAGCAATATAGATCACCTTTATTATGATTCTCTTTATCTGTACTTGTTTAAAATTAAATTACATCATAAAGATCTAATTACAAATTATTTAGAATTTTGAAATAAAACCAGTATTTTATCAAATGCTTTGAGATTAATGCATTCAAACTTAAAAAAAAAGATATATTCAGATCAATTTCAATATTATTGATTTTTTAATGTAAAAACTATGTCTACATAGATCTCAAACAATTTTATTAGATACTCTTTTTCCCAATTTTTTTCAAAATCTCTTTTTACATATCAAAAATTGTATTTTTCAATTTCATTTTTATTTTTTCCATATTTTTTTTGGAATTTGGATATGCGTCCAAAGTAGTTATGTCATTAGAAAAATATTAGATATCTGAAGAGAAAATGATAACTTAGAGAGTTTTAAAGATTTTATTTTCGAATACAAATATAGACCTCAGAGGAATACATTCTAAATAAATTTGTATCTGAGGGTGAATAAATAAGAACAAAATTTAAAGGGTTAGCATAAATAATGTAGAAATTAAGATTGGAATTTAAATTTAATACAAAATTAAAGGGAATGAATTTGCGATTAGTAGGGTATGGCAAATGGATTGGGAAACATTGGTTACACATGAAAATTATCAGATGTAAGAATTTGGTGCAGATATTTTAAAAATGAGATCTGAGTGCTTAAACAATATCTCAAAATTCAAATTTTCCAAATGAAAATTTGGAAAATTCCCAAAATGCAGAATCAACTGATGATTTTCAATCATTAATAACGCCAATACAAGAAGATCATTTTCCTTCTGCCAACGAACTAAAACAATGGTTTGATATTGCCCATGATGTTTTAATTAGTCCGCCACCTGAGAATCAACATCCAGAAATTGATGAAGAAGAGACACAAAAAGCAATTTATCTATTACAAAACTTAGACTTTCCTAAGAAATAAAATTATTTAATTTATTCTTGTTTGTTTTTTAATTAAACATGTATATTTATTAACATTTCCTTTTTTAATACCTTTCCAACTTCTATTAGTAACAAACACATAACTAATTTGAAGATTTAGCGTTATGAAGAAGTATCCAAGTAATAACGTCAATAATGCATTTGCGATAGGATATAATTGCACCAAAGGTTAAAACTTGTATAAAGAATGAAAAATGAAATTTAATACAATTTTTTTTCGAAAAAAATCCATGCTTGGCTAGATTTTCATAGTTATTGAATATGCATTACTGACATCTTGTAAAAGATGCCGATCAAGGCTTTCAAGATTGCTAAATTTCTCGATTAAAATTTACATTTTTTTTTATTTGTGTTTAATTACATTTTACAGTTTGCAGACTTACATAAAATCCGCAACATAGTGGTTATTTAATATTTGCCCCACAGTATTGTAGTTTGAAATTTACGATAAGATTATAATTGATAAAGTAAGGTTTTGTCATTAATGCATCTTATAAACTTTCATTGATAAATATGGATAGATAAGTTCTGTGTTCAAAAGTAAGCATTTTTTAAAACGCGCAATTATATCAAGAACGACTATCATAAATTCATGAGTATCGATGATTTTCGTTTAGGATGGACTTAATCGGCTTGATTGATATACATATTTTAAAATGGCATAGCTTTGTGCATGTTATGTCAAGCATTGTGCCAAACCAATTTAAAATGAAACAAATTATTTTAAAGAAACTATATATGAACTATTCGAACACTTTATATTAATGTAGGGAGCTATAAATTTAAATATTCTAAAAATTTATTTATTTGTTAAGAGTTCGGAACAAATTTATTATTGAATATATAGGAAATCAAATAATTATGCATAATCGCATAAAAAAATGCTGAAACAATGAAAAGAAAAAAATAGTTGCCCAATAGAAAAAGTCGAACCCATACCCCTACCCATTGAGTTATCCTCACTTTCAAGTTTCGATCGAGAAAAAGGTATTTAATCGCGTAACTCGCACCGTTTAGTCGTATTTCGAAGTTCTATATAGTATTAAAGATTAAGTTACATTATGTACAAAATAACTTTTTATTGTTATTTGATTTTGATAGCATTATTAGCTGAATATGAAAAATCTCGTAGAAATAATCATTTCATTCAGACATAAGTATTGGATTGTTTCCCAACAAGCATAATAACACACGTTTCATATTATAATTTATTTCATTTCTGTACAAAATTTAGATAACGATATCAAATAAAAAAAACTGTGGCCTTTTTTTACTTCAAACTATCATGAAGTGTAACCAAATTGGGTGAGTATTCTTGCTATCAGTATGACATGAAAAAGTGAACGACAAAAATTGAAGATATTGTAGTTAACTCGGATTTTTTTAATTGCAAACACATCTATAATTTGTTTAAATATCATTTATTATATCAAAATCGAAAAATTCGTTTTTGGAAATCTTTGAATTTATGAGAAGTTCTACAAAGACACTTACAAATATAGCGTTTGCAATAAAAAGGCTCTTTAATCTTCTTCATCCTTGCTCAGAAACTTCTACTGGTTACCTTACGGGTAACCTGCAAAGCTGCTTCCAAGGCATCGGGAAAATAACGTATTTTCGTGAGACTACCTTTTTTTTATTGCTTAGTTTACAAATCTTTACAATTTATTAACTTTAAAAAAAGATAGTCCCGCGAAAAATCTAAGATAGACTACTTCTAAGATAGATTTCCAAAAATTAATTAAGATAAATAGAATTGTTAAACTCCAAATATGAATGATATGATATTATTTTAAAATTTTGGCTTCAATTACAGATAATATACTTGATAAGTATCATCCCAAAAGAAACATATTGGCAATTTCAAGGAAATCACTCCCAAATGTATCTTCACAAATAGGAAGTAGCTACCGATATCAAATTCCTAATTCTATCTCACTTTTGTTTAAAATTGCATGAAATATAATAAACATCAACATGAGATCACATCAATAAATCATTGAACGTTGTAACTATGTGATAATAATATAAAATTTCATAAAGAAGATTAAATAATATTGAAGTTAATTATTTTTTACTTTTGGAAAAAAGCAATTGATAGAAAAGATCAACATATGAAAATGGATCAAAGACAGAATAAGTATTCTGTTTATTGCTTCTAATAAGCATTTTGGGTGCTAAACATATGAAAAAAGCATTTTCAAAAGAGGCAGTGGACATTTCTGACATATATATCATATTTCCTTCGGCTATTTTTGTCGAATCAGATTTTGTTCTGAAGATATAAATATAGGGATTGCCAAAAGCACAAAAAATTGCCACGCTTTGATTTTGACAATTGCTCTGAAATATACATTCTTCTATGTAAAGTCTATGTTGAGAGTTGGCTTCAAATAAAATTATTCCCGCTTCAGTACTTGCCTGAGTATTATTTATGAAATTAGATTTCATTAGTGTTGCATTTAATGAACCAAAATAAGCAATAGTGTTACTTGATGCGTGGCATGAATCAATAAAAACAACAACTGATATTTTCTACATTTTGAACCAAATTGCAAACAAAAGCCGATCCATAGATTGATTGACATTTTGAGAAATTTACTGCTTTAATATTTATTTTTCCGAATGCTTGAGATAAGGATCCAGAATTACTATTACTGCAGGATGAAATAGAACCTTCAGTAACTGTACTATTGACATGTTCGCAATGTATAAAGTTATTATGTGCGTTACTAAAGGAATCAAAATGGTTATTAACAAAATGAGAATTTCCACTAATATATATGGTACCTTTACCATTGCAGAAAACATTTTGTTCAAATAATATGTAATAGCTATTTTCCCGGATGACAATTGCATAATTTGACAAATCTTTAAATATTGATTTATAAACAAATGCGTTACCATCATCAGATATACTTGGATTCGTTTCAGTAATAGGTTTTGGACTTGAAATACTAAAATATCGTCCCCAAAACTGTTCATAATCTTCTTCCAAACTAGAGATATTTTATTTAAACCTATATGGTTTTAACTACAGAAATCAAACTATGGGATCATTTTGTATCAACTTAATTTATTGAATCTTGTTGTAATGTAGTTATGGCACTTGGTCCATGAAGTACTGTAAAGGTCTCAAACTGCCAGTTTTTCATCTCTATCAAGCAAGTGGAAAGACTGCACATTCTCTAATCATTTTTGCATCTTTGAGTTGATGCACATTTTGTAACGATTGAAGCTTAATAACAATTGCTTAATTTGGAAACTTGAATAAAAATCTTATTTTTGAGCATATATTTAAAAAATTACGTTCTCCTTGCATATCAGATGGCTAGTTTAGTTTTGGAGATAGAAATCCGAATATCGTTGGATCAAATTTCAATTTCTTAAGGAAAATGCTGTTTTTCATAAAGAAACTTGCAAATTGTTTGATACTGATACCAGATCTCAAATGGCATCTGATGTTCGATAAAATTGAAATCAATAAGTTATCTTAAAATAAAACGACTTTTTAAAATGATTTTCTCATTGTGAATACTTTTAAGTGATCTCACTATAAACCTTATATGAAAATTGAATAAAATTTGATCGGAAGAAAACCGATAATTGTAATGAAAAATTTTTTTTTCTTCAAAAAAAGATTTCATATTATGTCTAAGTATGGCGTTGTGCAGATCTTGCACTTCCCATCCGGCAAGTACTATTTAGTCCCATTATATAATATCATACACACCAGAATGAAATGCTCTCAAATCATCGATCTTTTTAAAGAACAAATAAAATCAACAGAAAACTTAAATCTTTCTCTGAGATCAATAAACGGCTTTTCATTATTACTAGACGACACAGACGATATATTTGGCATGTGCCCGGAGCTGCAAATCCTTCCAACAAAGAGATACGAAACCGAAGCCGCTAACTTCTTCCTCGCGGCCACTATTGTCAAAGAAGGAGCTCCAAGAGCTGTTACAATCAGTTTCCCTGTTATTTCAACTGATATGCAGCTTTATTATAACTATATTGTTTCATTAAAATATCCGTTAAAGCTTAAGAAAGTTCAACTTCATCTCGCTCACTTACACGATGTTCCAGACGATCAAGTCGCATCATCCTTTAAATTTTATTCCGTTACTGGCGACGAATATAACATAGATACGTTTCATGAGCAAGCGATGAAAGATTTCTTATACAGCAGAGTATATGTTGTTTACGATGCTAGCGAGAAATCAAAGAAGATCATGCGCTTACGCTATCTTTCAGTTAAAGAAATTGTAGAAACAGAAGGAACTTATGTTGAAACTCTTAGAGGATTCGAAAAGAATGTTGGTGGTTTCTTCAGGAGAACTGGCTGGGTTCCAAAGGATTTATACACGATGTTGCTTCAATCTGCAAATTATATCTTAAGTTTACACGAAGAAATGTACAACGACTTCCAGAAAATCGATATCGACTACATGGCATGTGTTGGCTGGATTTTCAAGAAATTCGTGCCATTCCTTAAGATATACCTTAACTATATGGCAACATACGATCAAGTTCTTAGCATTATCAAGAACTACATGCTCAATCCTCAATACGAGCAAATTTTTGAAGACTTCAGAATGTCCGAATACGCTAAAGAAATCAGATTCGACGGAATTCTCATCAAACCGGTTCAAAGAGCTCCCAAATACAAACTTCTTCTTCGCGAGACATTCAAATACACTACGAAACATCATCCAGATTACAAGAATCTCATTGATGCAATGAATATGTGTACAGTTTCCATGAAAACACTTGATGAAAATGTTTTACACTTAGAGCGTCGTCAACAAGTTTTCCAGTACAGTAACTGTTTCAAGCCAAAAGTACCTGTTATCCAACCAAACAGAGAATTACTGTATTTGGCACAAGTCCAGAAACGTGATTGCTATGCATTCTTTGTGTTTTCTGATGAGTTCTGGATCTGTCTGAACAAGAAAGGAACATATCAACTGTCCAAACAGTTGAATTACAACAATCTCTCAATAATTCCTTATGCAATACAATCTGTTTGTTTGAGATACGATGGAGAAGACACAATCTACTCGTGCAAAGACGCAGAATCAAGAGATGAGCTTGTTAAATTCTTCCGAGAAGCCTCAATTCTCAGACAAGCATCAGTTGGTTGCGATGTTTCAATCAATGTCGAAACAATTCCACAAATGGTCTGTCCACTTCCTGCACTTGAGAAACACGCAATGATACATGTCAATGGTTATCTTTATATTTATGGCGGCTACTTGAAAGACAACCAGTTGAATGAAGACCTCTACATGGTTAAAACAGATGACATGAGTGTCCAAGTCTTCAAGATGAACAGCCGATGGCCACAAGCTCGTTCACAATGCGCAATATGTTCACGTGGCACTGAAATTTACATTTTCGGTGGAACAAATGATGGAAAAACAGCATTGAATGACTTCTGGAAATTCAACACTGCAAGACCATCATGGTCATCTGTTTATACAGCAGACCAAATCACTCCACCTCCTTCTATCAACCCAGCATGTTACTGCAATGATGAAGCAATGTATATTGTTAGTGGTGTTGAAAGTTTAGAAGTTTGGAAATTCGTTTTCGAAGAAATGAAGTGGTCTAAAGTCACAACAGGCGGCATTTCTCTTAAACCAATCATTGGTGGAACAATTTATCCTGTTCCTAAGAATGCATTCATCATGGTTGGCGGCACATTCGTTGATGGCAAATCCAATGATAATCCAATTTTGCTTCAAAGAATGGGTGAAATTGTAACATTTGCAGAAGTAAATGGTGTTTCACTTATGGACAGAAATTCACGTGATGCATGCCAAATCAACAACTCTATCATTGTACCAGGTACAAGACAGGATCCTATAATGATGTGTCTAATGATAGATTCACACACATGGCTTGCTCCAAGAGTTCAAGGAAACATCATTGCTGCGGACAACTCTGCATCTACATCAGATGGAAAGTTTGTTTATTTGCACGGCGGTGTCAATGATGTCAATGAAGTTATCTCTGTTTTATACAAGATAACAGTTAAGACAGATTTGAACCAGATTGGCAACATCTTGGGAATGCAAGATCCTTTCTACGAAGACGCCCTTTTGAAACGATTTGTTGCTGCTCCAAATACAATCAAAGATGCTCCTTGGGTTGAACAAAAATAATTTATAATTTATTTATGTGATTTTATTATTTATGTTTTATCATAATGTCTTATTTTAAAAACATCAATTTTTTTATTCATCTATCACATTTTATACAATTGAGAAATTTCCCTATATAAAAATTTGACAGAGTCCCCTTATTACAATGAATCGGATACAACAGTTTTAATAAATGCAAAATGATTCTTTATGTTGTTATCTACATTCAAGAACAAAAAGTTAATTAAAATAAGTCAAGAAATAATTTGGAAGAAGATTATCAACATTTTTGGAGACGATATTTTAGTGTTTCCAGCCCAAAACCTATTACAGAAATTAATCCAAGTATTTCTGATGCTGGTAATGCTTTTGTTTACCAATCAATTTTTAAAGATTTATCAGATTATCCAATATTTTTCAAAAATAAAAATAATCATTACATTTTATCTGAACAAAACAATTTCTTCGATGATAATGGTACAATCTATATTACAGGGCATTCCCATTTTGTTAATAATCATTTTTATTCCTTTAATAACTCAAATAATCGATTCATATATTGTAATAATGTAAATAGCACCGTTACCGAAGGTTCTATTTCATACTGTATAAATAGTGATTCTGGTTCATTATGTCAACATAATGAACAAATAAATATTAAGGCAGTGAATTTTTCAAAATGTAAAACAAGATGGGGATCAGCTATTTCATGTCTTTGGGTTCAAAAAGTAGTTAATGTTAGTTGTTGCTGTATTGATTCATGCCATGCATCAAGTTTTGCTGCTGTTTATTTTGAATCATTAAATGCCACATTGATAAAATCTAATATCATAAATAATACTCATATAGGTTCTTCTTGGGGAATAATTTATCTTTCTGGTTTTTCTTACCATAAACTTTCTATCGAAGATTGTATATTTCAGAAAAATTGCCAAAACAAAAAAGGGCCATATTTTAGTACGAATAGCTATGCAAATATTTATATCTTCCACACAATATCTGATAAAACAACAGCATATCATGCTGAAGGAACAATTTATATGTCAGAAATGACCACTACCTCTTTCCAAAATGATTTCTTCATTTGTTTAACATCAAAAATGCTTATTAAAAGCATTAAACAGAATACTGATATTGGCTTTGATCTGTTTTCATATGTTCATCTTTTCTATCAAATAATATTTTCTATCGAGTAAAGAAATAAAACAGTTGTGACGCTTGGGCTTATAAATAATCGTCGCCCTCCTTTCAAAAAGTGAAAAATATATATATAGAATATCAATGTGTATTAACCAAAACCGCCTATAAAAAATTGAAAGATATTGTCTTTTATGATACGCTTTTGCTTCATATATCTTTTAAAATAGGACCGTTCTGACAGAGCAAAATGAAACACAAGAGAAAATTGGTTTTTAAAAAGTGACATAAAATGATAATATGTTTTTTATGTGAAAATCTTATGACAGAATCAAATTCTATATTTAAGCATGCTTATAAGAATAATATTATAGAAGTTTCGGTGAGTGGTTCATCTTCTCAATACATTAACGGAAGTAGACAATTGACAAAACCTGAATACGCCTTTGATCAGATTGATAAAAAATATGATTGGTGTTCCAACTGTGGTCGTACTCAAGATGATCATCCATGGGCTGTTTATTCTATCAAAAACAAAAACGTTAAAATCAACGGCTATTATCTGAAGTCCGGATGTTGCTATGCCGACCAAGAATGTTGTTGCTTTGATGACAGATATTGCTGTGAGTGCTGTTTGTATAGTTGGTCATTACAGATCTCAAATGACAACAAAACATGGAAAACAGTCCACAAAGTTGAGAAAGATATCGAAATGAGTCGATGCAAAGAAAAAACATACAAATTCAGTGAGACATACAACACTAAATATGTTCGTCTCATCCAAGATGAATCATGTCCAGGAGATCCTCCATGCATCGCATTGAACAAAATTGAACTTTTAGGTCAAATAGAAAATGAAGACGGAATCATTTTTGATGACCAAGAAAACGAAGAAGATGATGTCAGCATCATCGGACATATATCAAAGAATAGAATGAATTAGAAACTATCTATATAATTACATTGATACTTAATTACTCAAAAATTAAAATAAAAAAAGAATTCATGTTTAATTTTTTTTCTAACTTTTATTAATGAAGATGACATTATCACTATTACTTATTTATTCAAGTTTAAGCATCATAGCTATTTATTGTTTATATTTATATGAATTTTCTATGTCATTTACATTTAAAATATTTAAGGATAAGAAGCATCAGTATGACATTACCCTCAATTATGTTGTTTAAGATTAATTTTCAATGATGTTTCGTTCCGATTGTCAGGAATCTAAAATAATGTCAGATGAGTGTAAATGCATCATTAAATCTCTTGGCAAACTATTTTTTACAAAGGAGTTTTATACAGATAGATTTTATCCGATAAGTAGCAAATAACTATGATTGATGCAAAAATTTAATTATATAATCGGGCTCAAAAAAACAGTTCCTATATAATAAACATATGCACAAATAACTATGTTGGCTTAAAACAAATGACAAAATTCAATTAGAAAAAAATTAATTAGAAAAATTGTTAAATTATGCTCTTAGATTTTTTCAATTTGATTATCTGGACTTTTAAAAATAGGTGTTATGGAAAAATTATGTGCGAGGCATTATGAAATTTCAATTCCTTTGAAAAGTAAAATATTTTAGATAATTTATTGATAAAATGTGTATAGTAAAAGCTCATGGCTTAGTATCTTTTAAAATTGGAACAATATGTGCGTTTACATTTTTTTTTAATTGGACCAAATTCAGATGTCACAAGAAAAGAAAGCTGATATACAAGTTTTACAACTAATGGATAAATATAAAGGATATATTGAAACATTTAATTCATTATATCAGCTCAAAACGAAGGATGAAGAAGAAATTAACAAATTATACAACAAAATCAAAACCAATTTGATAGATGCTAGATGTTATTCCCCAGAAAAAATCATTGAAATTATTACCTCTGTAATTCAATACAACAATCGTTATTTTCAATCTTATTTGATCATAATCAAAAAGATTTTTGATGAATATCATCCAACCGAATTCTCTGGAACTAAGCCTTATATTCGCTATGTAAAAAAAAACTTTTCGAACAAATTGATTCTAAAGATTTTTTATCAGAGATTCATGAAGAAAACACAATATGTAGAGCAATCATGGAAGATAATATAAAGCAATTTATCTCATTCACTGAACGAATTGGATTTGATAAAGATCAACAGATTGAAAGTGAATTTTATCCAAATGATTTTAATTCTCTTCTTGAATTATGTTGTTACCATGGTTCAGTCAACTGTTTCAAGTTTCTGAGAACAGAATTCAACTCAGATATCACTTATTTTTGTATATTATATTCATTTTTGAGTGGCAAACCAGACATCATAAGTGAATGCTTGAAGACAAGAAATCCAAATATAGAATGCATGGAATATGCAATTATTTCACATAACATTGACTTTATCACTTTCTTGATGAATGAGCATAAATTGTATTTCCAATCAAATATATGCACGAAATATCACTCAAAACTCCCACCATTTATTCATTGAAATTGCAAGACTCCTTATTTCAAATAAAGCAAATCCCAATGCAAAAACAAGAAATAAAGAAATTCCACTACATTCTGCTTGTAAATATCAAAATGCACCAGAAATTGTAGAACTTCTTATTAAACACACCGAAAATATTAATTCAAAAAATTCAACTGGAGAAACTTCACTTCATTATGCTGTAACAAGAAAATATACCGAGACAGCAGAACTTCTAGTTTCGCATGGAGCAGATGTCAACGAATTTGACAATGAAGGGAAAACAGCTCTTCATCATGCGGCACATCTAAATAGTGCTGAGCTTGTGAAACTTCTTATATCAAATGGAGGAGATTTAAATTTAAAGAATAAAGAGGAAGATACTCCTCTACATATTGCAGTTGAAAAGAAATATAAAGAAATAGCAGAAATTCTTATATCGCATGGTGCAGATGTAAATGCAAATAACAAAGATGGAAGATCTGCGCTTTATTTTGCAATAAATAATAATATGATAAATATAGCAGAACAAATAATTTTGCATAGTGGAGATATTAAAGCAACTGATCGTGATGGAAAAGATTATCTTCATTTGGCAACTGAACTTGGAAGAAACGAAATAGTCGAAATTCTTGTTAAACATGGAGCAGATGTCAATTCAACGAACAAAAAACTTGAAACAGCTCTTCATATTGCAAGTGAAAAAGATCAAAAAGATATTGTAACATTTCTTCTTACACATGGTTCAAATGTTAATGCAAAATCAATTGATGGTGAAACTGCCCTCATGGTTGCATCAAAATTTGAAAATAACGAAATCTGTGATATTCTACTATCGCATGGTGCCGATATCAATGCCAAAGATAAAAATGGAAGAACTGCACTCCATATTGCTACAAAACCACGTCATAATAAGATAGCAAAATTCCTTATTTTACATGGCGCTGATATTAATTCAACAAATCAGAATGGCGAAACTGTTCTCCATCTAGCGGCTGATTCAAATAACACAAAAATTGTAGAACTCCTTATTTCACACGGTATCAATATTAATGCCACAGACAAAACAGGGAAAACTGCTCTTCACTTAGCCACAATGAATAAATTTTATGATGTATTTGACTATCTAATTACAAAAGGTGCTGATCTCAATATCAAAGATCGAAAAGGTATGACTCCACTTAGTTATGCTTTGGATTACGAATTTCTGAAAATAGCATTTGAACTTATTTTACATGATGCAGATATCAGTTATTTAAGCGAAGCTGAAAAATCAAATCTTTTGTTTGTTGCAATTAAAAAATACGTTTGGATGCTGTAAAAGCTCTTATTTTAAATGGAACGGATATTAATTCAAAAGATAAACAAGGATGGACCGCTCTGCATTGGGCAGTCGAAAAAAACAATCCCGAATTAGTCGATTTGCTCATTCAGAATGGAGCTGATATTTATCATAAGGATATGTTCAAAAAATCTCCTCTTTTCTATGCTCTAAAGAGAAGCAGAAAAGAAATATTAGATCATATTATTATAGAGTTTTGGCTCAAATGATTATGTTTACATAATAAAGATGTATTTATTATTTGAAATAATTTTATAACATATTTAAATAGTTCACTTGTTAAATTGACAACAGAATAAATAGTTGGGGTGAGATTGACTTTATTGTGGAGTCACGGTGACGTCAATCTCCCAAAAAGCCCAGAATCAATAATTTTTTTTTTAAATAACTAGATTTAATACATCATAAATTAAACTCTTTATATACAAAACAAAATTTTAATCATATAATATAGATTTTGTGATTCTACATAAGAAATTCATAAATTTTTGATTAAATCTTGATAATTCTTTAGCATCTCGCCTTTAATAAATCGCCTATTAATATTATATTGGATAAATTTAATGATTTCATCATTTCCAACGATTTGAACAATATTATTAAAATGATCAAACAAAAACTGGAAAATTACATCATTTTTGGGAGAAGCAAAATCAGGTTGAGCTATTCCAAACCATTCAGCAATTATGACTGGATTATTAAGGATGTTTTCGTATTTAGAAAGCAATTTCGTTAAAATAATCTTTGAAATGTCAAAAATATCGATTTCATCAGCTTCATCTAGAACCCCATCTTTATTATGAAATGTGGAGCTTATTAGATCATAAAAATACTGCAAATTTTCTGTATCAAATTGAATATTCGAAACAATTAATTCTAAAGAGTCCAAAGCGATCATTATCTGTTGTACTTCGTTTGAAGATATCGATTGCTGTATTATTTCTTTCATTCGATCAAAAAATGAATAATTATTTGAAACAGACATGTAAATCGGGACAATATGCATGAAAAAGGCAAAAGAGTTGGAATGATCTAGTGCTTCATCAATGAAATCATCATTAAATATGGTTTCGAACTCTTGTATTGCGACATTCGGCAAAATTTCAAACAATAAAATGAAAATTTCTCTCAATGTCGAGTATGGGTCATTGATTTCGTTATATTCTGAAATATCGGTATCTCCTAAAAACTTAGGGAAGTTCATACATAAATTTTGTAGACAAATAAAAATTAAATTTTCTTCAACTTTGATTTCAGGATTTGCCTTGATTAAAAGCAGGATTTTCAAGAAAATTGATTCTGCTTCTTTTTGTAGTCCTTCTGCTATAGTCATGTTAGAAATCAAATCTAAAACTAAATTTGCGATTTCAAGTGGATTTTGATCGGTTTTCAGAAGTGAATCCAAGTTTGTTAAGCATAAATTGCCAATGGAACTAGGAACAATAGGTTGGCTCAAGTGATTTATGCAAATTTGTGTTAATTCACTTTTATAAGGGAAATCAGCTTTAAAATAGTTAATGATCATTGGAATTATCCTTAAAGCAGTGCATATTTCGATTACGCATTCATTTTTGAGAAAACAATTAATTGAATCATTTTTGAAAAACAAGGAATATCCTGGAATTTCTGTGATTCCATCTGATAATTTAAATTCTGTGGTTATTAGCTCGGAAGCTGCTGCAGAAAGAAGAGCAGGAAGGTGGAAATTAATGGAATCTTGAACATATTCTTTTCCAAGAATAATAAAATTGTTTATCGATGATATAATTGAAGACACTACCTTTATATCAGTTTCTTTTTCAAGTAGTTCGAAAGCTGCATCTAAATATTTTGAGAAAATTTCAGATCCTTCGACAAAATTCTCGAAAATGCCACAAATCTCAGCAATTACATCAATAATGGATATACACGTGTCTGTATCGCATTCTGATATGATATTTGTCAAGTATTGAATGATATCATTGATATAATCTTTCATATTGAAGTTAAAGCAGTCTAAATATGCTCCAATGCATATGATAACTTCATTTATATATGAAGGATCATGCTGTGTTGAAATTAACCATGAGAAAATTTCAGAATTAAATTTTTCGAAATCTAACTGAGAATTAATCATAACTGATACCAGTGATTGCAAATATAGCTTAACAACACTTGTGTTTTCCAAAATTTGGATAACATTTGGAAATAAATTTATTAATTTGTCGTAAACTTCTTCTGAATTGATTTTTGATGATAAAGCGTATATACAGTTGAATGCTGCCCATAAAATTTTCGGATGGACGCCTGGAGAAGTAAAATTAAGAGCAAAGTCAAAAAATGGCAAAATTATGGATTTTTCACACGTAAATGCAAACGAGTTCAACTGAGAGATAAATATTAGTGTTGGATAAACTTCAGAAATGTCAGAAAAATTTGAATTAATCATATTTTGTATTAAAGGTATAGAATGATAGATAGAAATGCCGTAATAGAAGTCATATAGTTTATTGTAAATGATGTCTTCATCTAATGGCTCATCTGATTGAAATTTTTTGAGAAAATATATTTGTAAAAGTTTTTGAACTTCGTTTAGCATGTTTTGGTCATTCTTGATGCATTCTGACTCCAGTATAAGGAAATATATTGACTTTGTTGTTATAGAATTTATTTCTGTGTCTTCAAAATTTATAAATTCGAAAATTTTTGGAGCAATCTGTGGAAATATGTCTTTGCAAAATGCAGAGCAACTTGAATCTAAGTCAATGCATAAATCAAGAAAAGTTTCAACTAATTCAGGAGTAATTAAAGAAATATTGAGAAATAATGATTGTAAAGCTTCTATTTGTGGGGAGTGATTTATCATTGCAAAGAGTAGTTTCATTTGGTATTTAATAAGTTCTAGATTTTGGTTTGATAAATTAAAATCACAAAATTCAATGATTTTGCGTGTATCAAGCGGGATTTTATCATCATTCAATAAGTATAACTCGGTGAGTATGTCTAATGCGAGTAATATATATTGTTCATCAGAAAATAAAGATAAAATAAAAGGAAAGATTGTGTTTTTGTATTTCTCTGTATCGAAAATGGCAATTTGAGTAATGTATGCTGATATGTTGTTGAGTGATGCTTCACTTGCTGCAAGAGTTTGCAAAATTTGTTGCAAATTATTGGAAATTGGAAGCCAAAATTGATCAACATTAAGAAAATTCTTGTTTTCTGTGTGTTGTAATTCGTTTTTAAGCAATATCAGTGCGATTAAACAATACTGTGATGAATTTATTAAAATTGAATTCAGTAAATCAATGTAATTGTCAAATTCTCTGAACTTTATTTGTGACAGTAAGAGTTCTGCATCAGATCTTTGATCAGTATCCGTGCTGAATAACTCTTGAATGATTTCAATTAACTGATCAAGAGATATCGGCATAAATAATGACTATTTTGCATAAAGAAGAAAGATTTCGATGGTTACTATGTATAATTATTATATATAATTTAGAAAAATTTTAAGATTTTTAGATACATTTCTATATTTATAAAAAAATTAAAAGTTATACATCTTTCTAGCGTTTTCTCTAAGTGTTGTGTATGCAACATCTTCAGAAACGTTATGGAGTTGAGCCATTTTCTTGATTATCTGTGGAATATAGCCTGGCATTGAAGCTTTTCCGCGGAATGGTTCTGGGGCCATGTAAGGACCATCAGTTTCCGAAAGCATTCTATCTAATGGAACTTTAGAGCAAACATCTTGGACTTCCTTAGATTTCTTGAATGTAAGGCATCCCGTGAAGCCAAAGTAAGCGTTAGGGAATTCTTTTAAGACTTTTTCAGCCCATTGCCAAGAATCAGTGTAACAATGAATATGAAATCTCTGATCTTTCGGAAGGCAGCGCTTAATGATATCCCATGTATCATCCTCTGCCTCACGAGTATGAATTGTAATCGGGAGTTGTCTTTCGACAGCAAGAGTACACTGACGCTCAAAGACACGCTTCTGAACGTCAACTGGTGATAATGTATAATGGTAATCTAAGCCAATTTCACCTAAAGCGCGAACTTGTGGATGCTTTAATAATTCAATTAATTTTGCTTCGTATTCTTCATTGTAATTGGAAGCTCCATGAGGATGCTGGCCGAGAGCTCCGAAGATTTTTGGATGATTACGACCAACAAACTTCATTGTTTTTTCAAAATCTTCACTGAATGCACAAAGACAGCCATCAAAGCCTTCTGGCCATGAAGCTGTCCACTCATCGAATGAATCATCTAAATTCTTGCCTAATTTTTCCCATATACTGTCCAAATGGCAGTGACAGTCAACATAAAGATGCTGAGCCATATTTGAAAAGAAAAATATTTCAATTTTTTTTAATTTCAACTTGATTTGGAAGTAAATTATATTTTGAACACTTTTAAAAAGCGAAATGATTGAATTACTCTTTCAAAAATCCGTCAGAATTCGGGTTATTTCGTCTTCGCATAACATGTTAACAGATAGGAGACGAAGAAATAGCTTTCCAATTCTGTCGAAAGTAAGTTTATCATCATGGTATGATGAAACTCCACCTGATTCAAGCGATGATTCAGAAAATTCAAGCTCTGGCTGGATAGACAATTATCTAAGTTCGTTCAAATCCAAGTGGCTGCTCAGAGTCCCCGATGAATACATTTTAGAAGATTTTAATTTGTACGGACTTTCAGAAAAAATTCCGCAATACGTTGAAGCACTAGAAATTATAAGAGATTTAAAGCAAGTACCTCCTGAAGAGCTATATTTTGAAGATCCGTCGAAACCTACTTTAGATGCTCTAATCCAAAATCTATACTTTCTAATTCATCAGCGATATGTACAATCTGAAGAAGGCTTAAAACAAGTTTTCCAAAACTATATGCAAGGTGTCTACGGAGTTTGTCCAAGAACTGAATGCCGTGGACAATACGTTGTCCCATGCGGAATTTCAGACCAACTCGGGATTTCAGAGTGCTGTATATATTGCCCACGGTGCAAAGATATTTTCCATTCATATAACACAGAAATCTCAAATATCGATGGAGCATCTTTTGGAACTTCATTTGGACCATTTTTCTTTCGAACTTATCCTCATTTAGAACCTCTTGAAAGTGCTCGTATGCTTGAACAGAGAGTTTACGGATTTAGAGTTGCTGATTCTCATAAGAGAGGAGTCCATCCGTTTTAGTACTTGGATATATTTAGTTGTTTTGTTGCGTTAATATTTTGTTAATATAGATCTGAATATTATATATTTTGTTAATATAATTGTTGTGTTTATATTAAAATTAATCCTGTATTGATTATTTCGTGTTTTCATTAGAAGTAGTCTTTGATTAAGATGAAATAGCACAAGCTGTGGACTCTTTATTAAAAGATCGTAAATATTTTTTTCACGGCGATCGCCAATATATATTAAGCTTAAATCACAATAATATGGATATTTGAATGTAATATTCCAGATAGTAAAAACAGCTAGTAAAATTTTTTAAAAAATATAATTTATATACAAACAATTAGTCTTCATTCTTAGAAGATGATATCAAGAAAGTGCTAAAAAGATGGAATGGTATGAAATCAAAAATTAAGAAAATAAGATTAAATAATTGTGTTAATTTCATTGAATCAGCAAATACTAGTATACATACAGTATGGAAAATTGCAGGTATGATTAAAATTATAATGAAAATTTGTCTTAAGTTCTTTTTCATAAAAATACTTAAAATAAGAATTGTAATAAGTGGTAAATAAGCTCTAAGCAAGTCATTCTGAATGAAAATAAAAGACATTCGTGATAAAACCATTATTATTGAACTAATTACTTTAATATGTTTTGTTGTTCCGAATTTTTGAACAATACTTGTATATAATACCAAAACTAATAATGGAAAAGTCATGAGCAAAGACCATTCACAGATATAATAAAAAATCAAGTAAATTAACATTGAAAGATTCAAAACGAAATATAATCCACTCTGCTTTGGTTTTTTAGATAGGAGCTTAAAGTATATCATTTCAAGAATTATCAACAATGATAATGAAATATTAACTTTTTTCATGAATGTTCTTGGTTTATCTGATTTCATTTCTATGTCGAATGCTTCAAACCCCATACCTCCTTCAAATATGGTTAAATTAAACTCTGTATTTTTAACGTTTAAGTTATTAAATTCGTACAACGTAATATTTTGGGTCGTTGATAAATCTTTTGATTGTTTCAGGTGTAATTTTCTATCGTCTCCGTATCTACTATGATGAATAATGTCTAACTCGTATGAAATTATGTTTGAATAAGATTTTTGATATAAATGCTTATAAAACATACAAGAAACGGCTATATGTGAAAATGCGACTTCGGACGTAATGTTAAAATCGTAAGGTTGTCTATTATGAATGATTGATATACGTTTTTTCTTCAATTCGTATGAATATCTATCCTCTGACAATGACATATAGGCTAAAATTATGAAAAGGCATGTATCAATGATGATTTGCGCTGTAACACCATTTTTAAAAGATATTTCCATAAATTGAAAGAATTGAAGGGGGTGATTTCTTTAAAAAGGTGTTCCTACATTGAAGAAGAATAGACTTTTACAATTTACTAAGGATTTGTAATGATATAATTTCTGCCGTGACGTGTGCACCATGTGAAATAAGAAGACATACATTATTATATTAATCATATTGTCCTGCATAATGAAGCGGAGTTTCTTCATTTATATTTTTATCATTAACATTTGAACCATATGAAATTAGAGGTTATTTAAATTTTCTACAGGTGGATAGAGGAGTTTGCATGGATCTACCTGTTGGGTTAACATTTTGTAACTTTGTATCGAAAATTAGATCTAATGCAGAGAAAAGGAGTTTTTCTTGGGCTAGAAGTGTTTGTTTATAATTCAGATAATTGTGCAAATAAAATGGTATTGTTCATGTTTTATTAGTGATAATTAAGAGAATTGTTTCAAAATAAGAAAAGTACTGACACTTCAAATCTGATAATAGTTTTACGATGTGGTTAAGATGGACAAACATAAGACATACTGCGCAGAGAATATTTATTTTGATCTTTAAAATACTTATCTGATAATCTTTAAAGCTGAATTACAATAGATAGTTACTTATGGCTGTTTAAAATACTTCATCATTTTTGAAAATTTAAGGTCATAAAGTGTCAGTACCTTTAAAATAAGTAAGTTTGCATTATATGTTCTGTTGTAAATATAAACAAATCAGCGAAAAAGTCATATTACCATCAGAAACAAGGCTTTTTATATTTCGACATAAGTAAATAATGAGCCATATTCACGGCGTGCGACCTCAATGATGTGTTTCTTATCCTTGAGGACAACCTTCTTTCCGTGCCTTGCGAGATACTCGGCAACTTTGAGTTTGGCAGATTCTTCGATAATTGGAACGTTGCAAGGTTCTTTGTAAGCGATGTTAACAAATTCGTATTCATCCTTGTTCTCTGCGAGGTATTTTTCTGCCATAATTCTTGTGTGGTCGTTATTTTCCTGATCTGTTGCACGAGAAATTTTTGCATCGAAGCCAATCTTCTCGGCATAGCCAAGAAGAGCACGGTTATCGCGTGGGAAGCATGGTCCGCCAAATGACCAGCCAGGCATTAAGCACTTTAAGCCAACTCTTGAATCGTGTCCGATTGCTTCAAGAATCTTGTATTTGTCGGCACCTGGTGTGAGATCCGCGATGTCGCCAATCATGTTTGCGTATGCAATTTTCGTAGTAATGAAACAATTAAGGGAAATCTTCATTAATTCAGCGGATTCTGGGTTCATAACTGCAATATATGGTTCATTTGTAGTTATGTTCTTGTAGAATTCGGAAAGTCTGTTGCCGATTTCGTCGTTTTCGGCACCAATAAGAACGACATCTGGATTTTGGAAGCCTTTCATGATTGCGCCTTGAGCTATAAATTCTGGGTTGTAGTTAAGTGTTGTGTTCTTGCAGTCACGAAGGAGATAGCGGCCAACTTCACGGATATATCCTGGCATTACAGTGCACATGATCATTACGTGCTTGTTTTCAGGTTTGAAACTGTTTATTACAGAGAGAACTCTTGAAAGCTTTGAGTGGTCGTAATGGCGGTCACCACCTGTTGATGGAGTATCAACACAGATGAACAAAAGGTCCGAAAATTCGATACCTTCCTTCATATCAGTTGAGCATCTGAAGTTCTTGGATTCTTTCAAGAATTCGTTAACTTGCGGCTCTGGAGAATCGAAAGTTTTGTTATTAATTGCGTTGACATAGTCTGGGAAAAGGTCAACACCAAGAACGTTGTATCCAGCTTTCTCAAATACGAGTGCTGAACATATACCAAGACGGCCAACTCCGATCAATGTAACATTTCCATGAGTCATTTGAATAAAGGTGAATTGACAGAATTTTGCTTTGAGCCGAAATTTGGAATTATTCATTGTCAAGTGGACAATCTTTGAGTTAATGATATACAATTGTAATATTGTAATAAGCTGATTTCAAATTTTTTAGATTATCATCCCCCTCAAAATTTGAGAGAATTGAGGGCCCTATCGTTGTTTCGCCCAAAATTTTAAAGACCCGTTTTTAGATGATATCATTAAGAAAGAACCGGTAAAATTTTATCCCAAAACATTTTAGTGTTTTACTTGGATATATGAGGAAGTGTTCATCACACATTTTCATAATTGATTCAATCAAAATATTCTCTAAAGCGATACCATCAATTTTTTTTTAGGAAAAACTTAATTATAGAGGACATTATTATTTTCCATATTCACATAAGGATGTCGGAACTGCCAAAAACGCGAATTTTGTTCATCACGAATTGCCAAGCTTGATATGTGAAATTTTGAAAAAAAAATAGTAGATTTTGCATTATTTTAGTCTAAAAGAAGCAAGATAATGCTATATTTTAATTTCTATATATTTTTGAAATAAAATGGTGGCATTATTGATGACTTTTAGAAATTTGATATTTGAAATTGAATCATTTGATATTTTTGTTGTGCATTAGGTTATAATAAAACTAGAGATACTCAATGTAAACTCTTTTTAAAATAACCTGCAATTGCAACGGTTTTGGGTTATTTCTTCATAATTATTTCTCTCTGCATAATGAAGAGCGATTTTTCCCCTTATACCTATTTCATTGATATTTGCACCATGTGAAATAAGAACTTCAGCTGTTTCTTTATTATTATATTCTGCTGCAATACAAAGAGCGGTTTTTCTATCATTATCTATTTCATTGATATTTGCACCATGTGTAATAAGAAGTTCGGCTATTTCATTACCATTATTCAAAGCTGCATTATGAAGAGCGGTAAATCCATGATTATCTTTTTCATTGATATTTGCACCATGTGAAATAAGAAGTTCAGCTGTTTCTTTACTTTGTCCGCGTGCGGCATAATAAAGAATGGACATTCCATTATGATCTTTCTCATTAATTTTTGCACCATGTGAAATAAGAAATTCAACTATTCCTTTACAATTATTTCCTGCTGCTTTATGAAGAGCGGTTGCTCCATTAATATCTTTTTCATTGATTTTTGCACCATGTGAAATAAGGAATTCAACTATTTCTTTATAATTATTTTCTGCTGCAAAATGAAGAGTTGTTTCCCCATAATTAGTTTGTTCATTGATATTTGCACCTTTTGAAATAAGAATTTCGACCATTTCTTTACGATTATTTAGGGTTGCCATATGAAGAGCGGTTCTTCCAAGATCATATTGTTCATTGATATTTGCACCAAGAGAAAGGAGGTATTCGAAAAAAGATTGAATATTAAATATCGAGGAGTAAAATAAGCATTTGTTAACATCTTTAGTTTGATCCAAATAAACTAAAAATGCTTCAAGATTTTTGAATGTTTCGCAATAGAATAAATTGATCTCTATATTGTATTCATTCATCAAGAACGTAACAAAATCAATGTTGTGTGAGATAATTGCATATTCCATGCATTCTTTATTTGGTGTTTGATATTTCAAACATTCACTCATGATCTCTGCATTTCCTCCTAAAAATGAAAATTCAAGACATATTTCAGTTATTTCTAATTGAAATTTCGATCTTAATAACTTGAAACAATCAACAGCTCCATGATAACAACATAATTCAAGTAATGAATAACAATTATATCCATATGGATATAAATGGCTTGAAATTTTTTGATCTTTATCAAATCCTTCTCTTTCCGTAAAAAAGATGAATCTTTCTAGGTCATTATACATAATTGCATTGCAAATGGTATTTTCTCTATGAATATCGATATTTGTGAAATCATTTTTGCAATCAATATGGTTGATTAATTTAATTCCATATTTTTTATAAAACAGGATGTATGGAAGAAAATAATTATCGTCGATCTGTGTTAAATGATAATCATCAGTAATGAATTTGGCAAGAGTCAAATATGAGTTTGTATAGCGGTTATTGAATATGATGATGCTAAAAACATCTTTGACAATACTTGTTGGGGAATAGTTCCTTGAGTCAATCAGTTCTGTTTTGATAATTTTGTAAATAGAGTTTAATTCTTCTTCATTTTCTGTTTTTAACTGGTACAGCACATTATACGTATCGATATAGTATTTATAGATACTTCGCAATTCAGTGTATTCTTTTGGGTGGATATATTTGGGCTTCATTTAAAAAAAACGGCTGAAAAAAATTTCTAGAAATTTCAATACAAAAAAAGTGTTTGTATTTATTCCTAGAATCAAAATTTTCGAAAATTGAAACTTGGTGTTAATCATCATCGTATCAAAGGGTTTAATTAAGAAATTCGTGTTAATAAAAACTAGCATAGTATTGACTAATATATGTTATTCGAGTCCCATTGATATTCCAGACCGGTTTGGATCTGAACTTTTCCATAATGTTCTCTCCGACGATGCGCTTCCAATAAATATCAGACGATAGCAAATTGAATATGCACTAAAGATTAGAAAACGAGTTTAGACTAATTCCATGAATGGAAAAATCGACCCCATCAAAATGAAATGCTAGCAATCCATTCTGATATAAAGTATCTAGGGGACAATATTGAGTAAACATGACGAATTGCAGCCTTTTGTCTTCTGAATATTCAGTGCTTGAAATTATCTAGGGCTGTACAAAATCGAGAAAAACATTGCCGTGTGGTAATATAGGGTCAAAAAAATCGCGCCTCGGCGGCTCCGCCACCTCGGCACTATTAAGTGCGCATTATATTTAATATGTCCTTCTTTTTTTTCTTTTTTCTTCTTCTTCTTTTCCTTTCCTTCTTCCTCTCCTTCCTCTTCTTTCCTTCTCCTTCTCTTTTTACAACAACGTCGAAGATCTTCGAATTTGATTGTTGGAAAAGCATCTATTTCAGATAAAGGATGCCTTTCTCACAGTCAACATACGAGGGTCCTGGCTGAAACGTTCTCAAAAAGCCTGAGATGGTAATTCTCTGATCACTCATAGCTGGGCAGGTAGTCATTGCTGACAATACCTGTCTTTATGCATGCACGCTTTCATGTATATGGGTTTACACTATCAATTCGCAAAGTTGTTCCGAATTCTTCCAAAATGGAAGGACCCGAAACAACTTTGCTTGTTAACGATACAGACGCATTACTTTGCATTGATACTGTGCTGAGTTGTGTAGAAAGTTTGATTAGAGTTGTTTTGTTCTGGTATCTCTCATCTTCTGATGAGAGAAATCAAAGCAACACAACTCTAATGAGTTTGTTTTCACTCATTTGTATGTAGGTTTTTAGTTCGATTGGAGCTGCTTCATAATGAGATCTCTCATCAATTGATGAGGGAGATCATAACAAAGCAGCTCTAATGTATATGCTCGTATTAACCGGGTTGTAATGCGTTGTAACGTCAGCTTGTAGTTCGTTTGGGGCCACTTCACATTGAGATGAGAAGAAATGATTAAAGGACTCTGAAAGGCTTTGGCCGTTGATGTTGTAATCGCATTACTTGGAACTAGCTGGATGCTAAGCTGTGTAGAATGTTCGATTAGAGCTGTTTTGATATGATTTTTCTCATCATAAGATTGGAGGAATCATAGCAAAACAACTCTAATGGGTTTACCATCATCTACTTGTATGTAGATGTTTGGGAAATTGTCTTGTTAATCGATTTTCGAGATGACTTTCAAATGCTATAATCAAATGACAAACAAGTCTAAGATTTCTCGACAATACATCAAATCATGATGTTTGTAAGTGCGATGAGATTAGAGTTTTTGAAGGAATGACAAGAGAAGTAGGGAAGCTCGGCATTCGCCGAGCAAATTAAAAATTAACGTATGGATTAAATTTTAAGAGGAATTCAATTTTAATTACGGGTTGTTCAAATATTGATTAATATAAATTTATTAATAAGAATAAACAATTTTTGTTTTTGAATTTATTCAATTTATAGCTTTACATATAGTTTCAAAATTGTACAACTATGATTATTTCAACAAAAAATATCTTACTTTTTCACTTCACTTTCACCCTCACTTTTTCCGTAATTCAAATTTCAACATTATGTATTTTAATTCCTTATAGTATTTTTAACATAATTAATCAAATAATAATTGGAAGTTCTGAACTCACTTTTTCCGTAATTCAAAATCAAAAATATGAATAATATATCTATTTATTATATACTAATGCTATTTTCAACTAGAAGTGAGGTACGGTAATCTTACGGATTCCCGTAACTCAATTTTACGGAAAAAGTGCAGTAAACTACTCAATTTACGGAAAAGTGTCGTAAACTATTGATGTGGCGGTAAAATCACGGTAATTCACGGAAAGCTATATGCGAAAATTTGAAATTATACAAAATCGAGCGAAACACTTTTAAATAGGTTGTTCTCGTATTTAAAATACTATTCCCAGATTTATTGTCGTCAGAATATTTCCAAATTTTTGCCGATTTACAAAAAATGATTTACAAAGCATATTTTTTAATCTAAAAAATTCCTAAAAAAAGGAACCGGTGTGCGGAAACCTCGGTAAATTACCGCGGTTCCCGTTGGGACTGCCATAAAATTATCATAAGTTCTGGATTTACAAGAGAAACCATGAGAAACATTAGGAGACCTGATTAGAATATAGATAAATGCAGGTTTATGAAAACAAGTACTGTCTATTGAAGATGAAGATAAGGAGAAAAGGTTTAAAGCATAATTTGATATCTTTCTGCTCAACAACACCTATTGACACTCTGCTCACTCCTACAATTGTAGAAAACTTTGGTATTTTAATCAAATAAATTTTAAAAATTTGTTTGCTGAGAGATAATAAATTAAATAAAAAAATAAAACATTTTATTGATAAAACATTTTTGATTAAACCTTCTTACCCGCTTTCTGTGAGATCTCAAACAAGAATGATACCATAGCCCATCCTGGGTTATTATTTGATCTTTGCATTAAATCTTCTGCGATTTCTTTGGTCACAACGAGTTCTCTTAATCTCTGAGTGAAATCTTCAACTTCTTTCTGAGAATAGTCAACGTGTGGCTTAGCAATCTCTTGTTCCTGTTTATTCTCTGTCTGTTCCTTGCTTTCTTGCTGTTCATCTTCAGAATATTCCGATGTAACTTTGATTGGAGTATGAGATCTCTTCAATTGTTGTTCCTTGTGCTTTGCATTATCACTCTTCCTTGTCCTCATCTTGCTCGATCCTCTTTTAGTCTTAGTTTTAGTACTAAATGACGGATCTTTGAAATTACCGGAATCATCATCGTCAGAAGAAGAACTTTCTGACTCTAATTGCTTTGCCTGTGCAGCGGACTGTCTCCTCGTTGTTATGTGGATCTGATTTTGAACATTTTCTTCCGCATCTCCATCAGATTCAGCTGAAGAAGCTGATCCTGATGAAGCAGAGCCGCTTGGACTATCCTTGAAGGATGAGTCGTTCTCACTGTCGCTGTTTTCGGACGATATAATGTTCTTATACGAAGTTTTTGCGGTTTTTCTTGTTTTCATGAGGGGCTGCGGATTTTGTTCTTCAGGGGTATCGAATTGAGTGGTCACTTCATCTTTTCGTTTGTGAAGGATTACGCGAAGTTCGTTTGCAGATATCCTTGGCACATCATTAAAAACGGTATGATAAATGGAATCTGCTGATCCATTTGCAGATCTGATTCTTTTGACAATATCTGCAGCTGAATGTTCAGTACGATCGAGAACTATGAGGTTCTGTGTATTTCCGGAGCTAACTGATATCATCTGAACTAATTCTTCTGGTAATGTTTCCGGATGTTTTCTGATTTCCATGATTTCTTCAAGTTCATGCTGAGTAATGTACTGCGAATCGTTAATAAAGCCAGACCATGTCTTGTATGCTATAGATTGGTCGAATTTATGTGTTGCTTTCATCAATTCGTTCATATTGATGTTTTTAGTATCAATTATAGCGCAGAACTTGCTTTTTATGTCATTTCCAATAGGAAACTGTGAATCTACGACGTCTACAGGGTCGTTTTCGACATTAAATCCCTGTAATTTGGGAGGAAGTATAGAAGGATCTTCTCTGATCTTGATAATCATCTTTAGTTCATCTGTTGTGATATGTTCCCAGTTTTCTGAGATCCGTTTGAAGACTTCTTCCGGATGACAGTCGCATCCTTTAATAAGACCGACCAATTTGATGAACGTAATCTGTAGTCTGTTTAGTAGTACTAAATCGCGTATTATTTTCGATTTTTCGTTTAATATTTTATCACGTAATCCTGGTTGTTGGCGAATCTTCAAAATTAAGCTGAATTCTGGCTTAGTTATGTAAAGACTGTTAACAAGGAAGTTCCTTGTCTTAGTAATTGCGCCTTGTTTTTGAATTGTGATAACTCCTTGGACAAAGTCTGTTGTTTTGTGGTTTTCTACATCAATAATTGCGTAGGAAACGTTTTTAACCGCGCTGCTATGCTGAAGAAGTGGAGGATTCGTAGCTTTATCGAGAATATCTTCATCGTTGGAATTTTCGTCTGTTTCTGTCTTGACAGTATTTGTATTTGATGGCGATATTATGTCTTGAGCTGCTAGTAGCAATCGATTGTTTAATTGAGATTTTTTTTCTTCATCGATTTGTGTGTTGATTTTTTCGTTTGAATCTTGACGTTTTGATTTATGTGAGAGTTTTCCTTGTTTGTTTGGCTTCGTATTTGTATTTTGTTCTGGATTATATTTTTCATCCTTCGATTTTTTGGATTTTTCTTGTTCATCTTCGGAACTTTCGCTGCCATCAATATATTGGCGGTGGTTTGTAATTCTTTTTGGTGATGAAGATGAAGAATCAATTATTGTCGGTGCTTCGTCGGCGGAATTTTCTGGAGACACTGGAGGAGAGACGGGCTTGGCCGACAGCAACTGTATAGCTTTATTCAAGTCACCATTCGAAGATTTAAGTGCATTAACAATACTATTTCTTGAATAATTGAGCTTTTCAAGAAATTCGACTGATCTGGAATATTTGTTCTCAGTGCTATTATTGTTGTAATAATTCTCTTTTGATTTTTCATCTATTTCTGGTACAAAAAGACAATCCCAATCTTTATCCTCGTATTGTTTAGAAATAACCGTTGAATCTTGGATTATCTCAGTATTGCAACGCAATACTATCTGGTCAACTGGTATTTTTGAGTATTTCTGAATCATAATTTTTACATCTGAAACTGTTTCTTTATTTCTCAAGGGAACTTTCATTTCGGTGTATTCTGTATTAGGAAAACGGATTGTTATTGAATGAGATTGCTCCTGAGTCTTATCATCATTTATATTGTCTTGAGAAATCATTTGAAGAAAAATGAAATGAATTTTTTTGTTCTGTTTTTTTTCAAGGAATTGATGATTTCGATATATTTTTATTTGTTGTCTCTAAATTATGTAAAATATTTTTTGTAAGATAAAATAAAACGGCTTTTTTTTGTAAAAAAGAATTATCGTTTTTCATTGAAAAAATAATCGTAAATCTAAATAAATAAATAGAGAACTTCTTTATTTTTTTTTAATCAGTATTATTAGATGTAGTAGAAACAGCTGAAGCAACTTGTTCTGGATGCTCACGGGCATAGTCTGTAGCAAGTGCAGCAGCTTCTGTAAATGCTTTGGTACTTAATGAGCCACTCTTGTAATATTTGTAAGCTTTGTACCAGAGCCAACCGCAAATAACAACGAATGCTGTTGCGGCTATTGACCATACGATGCCATATCCACCAACCCACTTTCCTGTCTCGCCTGTGAGAACATTGATTGAAATAACCCAGCCAACTGAGCCATATTCAAATGCTCCGATGGCGAGGAATGCTATGAATATTAAGTATACGCCGAAACCGATAAGATAGCCAATGAACTTCAAGCCTTTCTGCTCTTTGAGTGAATTATACAAAACCATAAAGATAATATCAAGGCAAATAGGTACCATGATGATGAGATATATAGCACTGAATAATATACTAGCGGATGGTGACTTGACTTTCTCGCCAGCGGCTAATAAGAAGAGACATCCTAAAAAGTTGAGAGCTAAAAGAATTGCGCCTAAATATTGGGTCCACATATTAAATTTGACCAACTGCTGTGCATCTTTTGGTATGTCTTCATCTGGATAGTACTTGTACCAGTTGAGAATTATTGGGAAGTTTCTTTTATGTGGATTGAGATGGTTATAAGTTCCATTTGCCTTCGCCTCCTCTATCTCACGTTCTCTCTGTGCAATTTTCTGTTCTTTTTCAGCTAATGCTCTTTCTCTTTCATCTAAATCTTTTTCGGATAAGCTAAATCCTGTAGCGCTATCCTTCATTACGCTGCCAGGAAATGGTATGAATGATGGTTCCTTCTTTGATGACTTCTGTGGCTTACTATCGCTTGTTTCTGTCTTAGGAGGAGTGTATGTTGGTTGTTGTGGTGGAGGTGCTTGAGCTGGAGCTGGTGCTGGAGTTGAAACTGGTGTGGTAGCTGGTGCGTTATCATTTACGAATGGATTATAATCATCATCAATGGTTTCGAAAGGATTCGTCATTGATAATTATGATCTAAAATTTAACTCTCAAAATTGAATTTTCGCCCGATATGAATTCAATGTGTGAAATTTTATCAAAAAAAATATAATTCAAATTTTGGGTGTTATTATAAATTTAATGCAATGTAAAAGCAAAATAATTACCGATAAAAAGTGTCATCGGATGATTTGTAATGATAGTGTTTTCTATTTAACATGCAAATTTTCATCAAAAGTCAATATAAAAACGATTAAAAAATTTTATTCATGATGTAACCGCAAAAAAATGGAAAGCCACCGTAATGGAATTCAAAATTTAAATAAATGACTCAATGCATATTTTGATTATACCAGGATTTTGATTTGAAGCATTGTAATTTCAATAATCCACAACATTTTTCCCTATTGAACTCATTTCAATGGTTGAAAGTTGTTATTTAGAATTATCTGTTGCCATATCTTTAATTCGGTCATCTTTTAAGCGATATTACTCATTTTTCGGAATTTGCCTTAAAATTAGCATTACAATGGATATAAGTCTAGTACGATACATACATATTGATGCAGCCACAATTATCTAATGAAATAATTGTGTTAAGAAAATTATTGATTAAATTGATCTTAAATATGTTTTTTACAATGCATTTATTATTTGCATTGATAGTAGATAGCTAATCATTCGTTGTTCAGCTAATATGAAAGTTACATGTTAATCGATAGAACCGATTTTTGACAATTGCTTAAAATAGTGTAAGATTGATATCTATTTGCTCCAATGAGCATGAATTCAAAGTGTAATTGATCGGAAAATGTATTTTTAAGAAAAATAAACAACAAAATGGAATGTATAGCTTTCTTGTTGTAATATGGCATTAGGCAATTAATGCATAAAGGATTTAATTGCTCCTTTAAGTGAATTGAGCATATGAGGCTTTGTATCATCATGCCACCATTTATTTGCGATGCTAAGTACTGAATATATATCATTTATATGTATGTTCTGCAAGATTTGAAGCGTATCACTAAATTGAGAACTCAAAATTTGATTTTCGACCATTTTCATTTCTGCGGCGCCGATGTAAAAAGCAAAGTCAATAAGTCTGTCAAAATGAGTCAGTAATGAATCCCAAATTTCGTGAATAACTGGCATCTCATGATTCTGGCAAAATAGAAGACAGAACCATTTAAATGCATAAAGAAGTGGATAGATATCCTGTTGCTTCAAGTGTTTGTTGATTTCTGGAATCTTACTTTCTAAAACTTTATTAAACAAACTTAATCTTGCGAGTAAATTTTCTGATTTGTTCATTGTCATGAATAATTCAATAAGATTAGTTTGTCCGAGTAAGCGCAGCAAGCAATTAAAAGATAAAGCTTCAACTTCGATATCATCGTGAAATATTGATTTTGATGAATAGAAAACTGTATAAAATGGCATAATAAGTTCGTTAAATCCTTGCATATATCCAAAAGGTCGATAAACTTTTCCTAAAATGTACAATATTCTTTCTAAACGGCGTATATGGACGGAATATAAAACAAGCATTGACCCATCATCAGGTTCACCCTGGAGAGGGCATGGAGGGAGCATAAATATATGTTTTGCCGTTCTAACAACATCTTTATGAACAATATCCATAAGTGACTTATCGTCAACGTCAAATACATCTTTAGTGCAATGTACTTGAATGCTTTTGTTATGCCACTCTTCTAATTTAAATTCGGCAATATAAGATCTATATACTTGATTTAGCTCTGACCTGATATCAGGCCATTCTCTAGCATGCATAGGATACAATCCTATTAATGCTAGCCAAGAAAGAGCGCGATCTTCTGGAGGTGCTCCATTTAATCCGGAATGAGTTAAAGAACGTATTTTATCGATCTGTATTGTATCATCCTCGATGGGTTGCATCAAAGGAAGGATTCGAAATTCAGGACTTCCCTCTGAAACTGTTGGAAAGTTCCGCATTCGTCACCTTTTTTGTGTGTCACGTTCCTAAAGTTATGGATAATCCTCATGAGGAAGAGGAGAGTCCTCACGAAGAAGAGGAAAGTAAAGAGATGCCTCCATGGATGATAGAAAGAATGAAAAAGATCCAGGAGGAAGAAGAACGCGAAAAACAAGAATTCGAAGCAATGAAAGCAAAAGCTGAAAAAGAGAGAGAAGAATTTTATAAAAACTTAAAAGCAGAACAGGATGCAAAGAAATCTCAGCTTACAAAGACATACGTTCCTGAAAAAAAGATAGATGATGATGATTTAATTGGAGGATGGCAAGAAGTACTTGAAATTGCAAAGCCAATACGTAAAGATGTCCCGGCAAAGCAGTCCAAGATGGTTAAAAACTTATTTTTCAATCTCAAAACTCAAGATGCCGAATAGAATATTTAATCTACCTATTTTCAAGAAGTCACAGCGATTTACTCTTTCTGTATATTTGTCTTATATTATTTTCGTTATAAATTTGTAAAATTTATACTATACTCTATTACAAAATCAAAAATGAGCGAACATTGCTGTTTTTATTTGATTCATTACAACAGATAATATCATTTTGTTATAAAAAATTGAGATAATTTTGGTGATAAAATTATTTTATAAACAACAAATGAAATAATTTACTTATTTATAATACTAACTTCTCCGTAGCTTGTTGTGAGCTGATTTCTAAGTACTTTCAGCTTTTCAAGTAGAGAATCTCTGAGATTTCTCTGCTCGGTCAAATAATTCAACATTTTTGAAGTTTCTCCATGATAAAGTTCGGTTTCTAAAGTCTTTTTGTTATTTTGGATCTTGTCATTCAAATCTTGAATCTTTTTGTTCAAATTATTAATTTTTTCATGGTAATCGTCAATTTTCTGTTTCTCTCCTTCATAATCTTTGGCTAAAATCTCTTTTTGATTTTGAATTTCGGTTAATTGCTCAAGAGATGCGTTCAATACTTTGGAAATAGCACGGTATTCACTATCTAACTTTATCTCATCTTGTTTAGTTTGAGACATTTGTTCAATTTTTCGAGTAAGTTCTGTTTTTTCGGATAATGCGTTGTTCATTCGAGTTATATGCATGTTATCGTTATTTTTATGCTCATTTGTCTCTTTATCTACGTCAAGGCGTAATTTTTGGATTTCTTTTTGTAATTCAACATTTTTATTTTTAATTTCTTCAGATTTTTGGTGGTGTTCTGTAACTTCTATCGATTTTTCTTTATTTAGGTTGCCTTCTCGTTCTGAGATTTTCTTTTCAAGATCAGTAATTGTTTGTTTCAAATAATTTTTAGATTCTTCGATTTCTATTTTCTTATCAAGTGATCTGCAATAATCTCTAATGCTACTTATATGAATTTCCTTTTCTTCTGATGAATTTGATGACTTTAAGAATCGAAGTAAATCTTCTTGTTGAAATGAGAGCAATTTATTGATTTGGTCTTGGAGTATTGCTGGTTTCCTATCCTTCATCATCCATAATATTTGCTTAACTATGTCTTCGAATAAATCATAATCACAATCAATGAAATTTTGATAATCAAAATCATGTTCTGGCAAAAAGCTTGATGGTCTATTATCTACAAGATATTTCATGAATGATGCTGCTTCATTATCTTCGTCAAGTTCTATTTCCGGAAATAATTCATGAAATGCTTCAATTAGAGGATAGTAATCAACAAATTCCTGGAAAGCATCATTAACATCTTCTATTTTTCCTGTTAATTTAAGCCATGATATCAAAGAAGAGTTCAAATCATTCATTTTTTCGGTTTTGAATTTTATTTTATCCAAATTATATTCCGTGTAAACTTCTCAAATTATTGGATTTTGTTGAGATCGCGAAAAAGGGAGATTTTTGAAAAACATGCTGAAATAATTATTATTTACACTTGAAATTTTGGATCATAGAATAAATCCTAGTGATACAATGATGTTATGAATTTAATGATCATTTGATGATTTTATTATAAAGATATTAAAAATATCTCGAAAATAAATCAATATTGATCATTTTATATAACGATTATATTCTTATAAGAATTTGCCTAATATCAAAATTAAACCAATGTAGTTATACGACGCCTGAATTCACAAATCTGGAGATTAAATTATAGATTGTATTTTAAAGGATAGATTAAATCATATTTATAATAATATACAAACAAAAATATAATAATATTTCAAAATTTCAACAAAATTTGCCATTCATCCAAAATATCAGCAGCTGTTTGAGCAGAACCAGACTGGCTTATAGATATTGACTTCAAGAATGGCGCAATGCACTTGAAAGAGTCCGCAAACTTCTTTGCATGTGAATATCTTTCTCCATTTTTATTTTGGAGTTCGTCTAAAACTTGTCTTCCAAAAGTTTGTAGCATTGTCTCTGTTGTAGCAATTGCAAGGTCCTTCTCGGCAGTCATTATCTTCTCCACAATCTGCATCATCAATACACCATGGTAGAATCGAATAACTTCAGGTTTCATCCTCAAAATCGTGAGAATTTCTGCGCCCATGTCTCCTGTTTTTGCTGAGTATTCTAACATCCTGGAGAGGCCTTTCTTGCCAATGAACTCGTTGATACGTGTCATCCTGGAGTATCTGTCGTTCATCTTGGTCATAAATATCTGTCTACGGGCACGAAATTCTTTGAAAACTGGATTTTCGCCAAAACTCATTCTTTGGCGCTGAGAACGCTTATGTGGTGTTTGAGCATTCGATTCGCTGCCAACTCTGTTCCTTGTTGGTATTGGAAGCTGATTTGGAATTTCAACTCTTGGAGGAGTTTGACTTACTTGATGGCTGATGTTATCAATCTCTGGAGTAAGGGATACTGGTGAGTTCTTGAAGGGTTTGAAGAACTCAAGCTTCGTTCTGTGGATATTTAATTTTGATCCAACGGAAGAAGCAATTGTAATGCCAGCCATTGAGACTGAGATGTCGCGTATAGTTTCTAGGGCAATTGTAAATAGGTCTTGTATCTTTAATGGTTGAAGAGAAACGAATTTAAGATAATCTGAAGAACATGTAATGATAACTGAGCCTGATGAATGGAATCTAACAGCATCTACTGGTGCTGAATCGGGATTCATGTCGTTCATTAGCTCTTCGAATGAATCTATGTCGAAAAAATGTAAACTTCTGTCAGCACCTGCAGAAACGATCATATTCAAGGTTGGATGGAAGCATATGGAATATACTGCATCCATATTTCCATCGAGTGTAACAACTTTCTTGCCTTTCGATAAATCATAAACGTTAATAAGATGATCGTCGCCACCGGTTGCAGCAAACACTCCGTTGGGTGATATAGCAACTGTATTTATGGACCCTGTATGATGATTGTAAATTTGAAGCGGTTTTCTTGAATTTGTTGATAAAACGTTAAATTTTCCTGTTCTATCAGTAGCAAGTATAATTTCTGGATTAACTGGTGAAAATGCAAGCGACGTGATCTCTCCTCTGTTTTGAGACCACGTTGCAAGGCATCTATTATCATTTAGATCGTAAAGAAGTATAGATCCTTGGGCAATTCCAATAAGAAGTCGTTCTTCTTCCTTGTCAAGTTTCAATGCTGTTATTTGTGATTGAAAAGGCCCAAAGCAGACTTTGGGATTTGAATTTCCAATTTGCCAGAGATTAACATTGCAGTCCTCTCCACCAGAAACATAAATTTGGCCTGTCTTTTCACCTATTGATACGCATTTTACGTTTCCGTCATGTGCTAATAAACTCTGAAGTTGATGAAGTTTTGGAGGCATTCAATCAAAAAAATTATGAAAATTTTGAAGTTTGATTGTGAAGAATCTTAACATATGATGAGATTCGGGAAGAAAAAACAGAGTCGACATGGAAGAAAACTTCTATTTAAAGCTACCTAGAAAAAGGGTGGAGAGCTTCGTCTACAACAAAGATATCGACCAAATTTGCTCCAATTACGCTTGATATATGAAGTACAGTAATAGTGTGCATGGACTCTTATAATGATTTTCAATAATTTCGAGACATATGATTCATCTAAATTATCCATATTTTACTTAATAACACATATACTTTATCGTATTATGAAAATTAAACGAAAAAGATCACTCATGATGAGTTTAATACACACTTTATTCAGATTCTGTATAGATCTGCAATTTTCCCAAATGAACGGGGTGGATAAGATCCCAGCCCTATCGTCATCCCAGTGTCAATTTTACAAAAATATAGATCCGTATTTTTCCCAAGTGAGCGGGGTATCTCCAATCCCAGCCCTATCGTCCTCCCAGTGTCAGTTTTCAATATAAAATCCAAATTTTTTTTGAAAATAAAAATTTCGAGAAATTTTTCTGATTTTTTTTCTTTGATTTCAATAATTCAAAATAAATTTGGGAGTAAAAAGACACTATTTAATGAAATTCATATGAGTGAATGTGGATAAATACTCTCAAAACATACAATTTATCTATTTTTTCTTTATATTATCAACTAATTAGTGATAATTTTTTTTGAATCAGATTTTTTTTTCATTAAAAACATAATATATAACACAACAATGATGCACACATACGTATCTACACATCAAAATATAAAGCTTGTTTTGGTCTGGGCATCCCAACCCAAAATTCTTAAAAAATTGAATAAAATTGAATACTTGGGGCTGGGATACCCATCCCAAAACCGAATTGAATTTTTTGAATTAAAGAATATATTTATGTATTTATAATATACATGTGATGTCTATCAAAAATACTAAATTCTAAAAAAAATTCAATTTATTCAAAACGTATACTAAGTGATCACTTCATTAGTAGGATCAGCAATCCTACTAAATGGTGAGAACGCCACTAACTAAAAAGGGAGTCCTTGGAGCTCTTGATCTCTTGTCAGTAGAGTTCATAATGAGGCATGGCATCTACTGATTAGAGATCAGAGCAATCCTACCTTACTTTCAGGAGCTACAAAGCTCCTAATCGTTACGAGAGGGAGCCTTGGAGCTCCTGAAGCTCATCAGCAGAGGCTATTTACCATTTGGGCCTCTTCTGATGAAAGATGCGAAACACGTCTACGAACCAGGAGCTTCAAAGCTTCTAATCCTTACTAAAGGGAGCTTTGGAGCTCCTGAGTCTCCATCAACAGAGTCCTAGATGGTAAATGTCCTTTGCTGATGAAAGATGCGAAGCACATCTACGAACCAGGAGCTCCAAAGCTCCTATTCCTTACGAAAGGGAGCTTTGGAGCTCCTGAAACTCCTTTTACTATAAAATATGACAGTTTTCTTCTGAGGTTCTCATCAAATCTAAGACTTCAGAAGAAAGCTGTCCTATCAATGTATACTTACACTCTCATGGACTACAAGTGTACAATTTTAAGGCAGAGATTATCCGAGGCCTCTCATCAAATGAGGGACCTCGGATAATCTCTACCTTAAGTAGTCAAATAACTTTTCTCACTATTTAGGAACAAAAGAACAAGAGTTGGAGTACTTTAAGGCAAGATTCTTCCGAAATCTCTCATCGAATGAGAGACTTCGGAAGGACCTTGCCAAATCCTTGAACGCCAATATCCTTGGAACTGAGCTAGAACCAGGGAGAAGTAGCATACTATAGAGCACGATGGTAATCTCGGAAATGCTTATATCGCCCCAAGCACAATATTTAAGAAGTCTAACTCATATATACAAGAAGTCAGGCTGAATAGATATTGTGCATATGGTTTGCAGAACTCTCATGATATTTAAAATTCATGTTATCCCAAAAAGGTGACACTTTGGGTGTATCGTCCATCCCAGGGATGCAAAAATCACATCACCTTAAAAAAAAAAAAAAAAAAGGTATTGGGGCTTCCAGGGCTGCGCCCCTCTAGCCCCCTGAAGATGTTTAGTATAACACCAGGTCCCTCGGTCCCTCGGTTAAACGAACTTCTCTGAAAAAATGAGACAACATGACATTTTGACAACAGTCCAGGAAGTCTTAACAAGATAGGATGGTTATTTTACAAAACCGACAAGACCTTAACCGAGTAGTTTTCATGTTTTGTCACTTTTCTGTCACTTTTCAGGGAAAAAACATTTTTATTGTATATAAAATGAATTTTACAAAACCACCGCTACCCTTCTTTGGAAATAAGAGTAGATGTAAAGATATTCTATTGAGAGAACTTAAGAAACTACCGAATGGTCTAACATTTGTAGATTTGTTCGGTGGAAGTTTCTATATATCTCATTTGTGCCATACTGTATTTCCTGACTCAAAGATTATATGCAATGACTTCGACAACTATATGAACCGTCTCAAACATATACCAGACACAAACAAAATATTGAGTGAGTTGAAAGAAAAGATACCTATAGGTAAGATGGAACGTATACCATTAGATAAGAAAAATACTGTCAGAGAGGTTTTGAAAAAAGCAGAGTATATTGACTGGATAGTATATCTTCTAGACTATTATATAGTGGTGCTATAAGAGTTCATGACATTGAAACACTTATGTCAAAAGTTTTATATCTTAACTATACAAAGGTTTTCAAAGAGAACATAGAAAAATATACTGAGGGTATAGAGTTTGTGAGATGTCGTTGGACAGAGTTGTATGAAAAATATAAAAACAAGGAAAATGTTTTCTTTATAGTAGACCCGCCGTTCTATAACACATGGGATTTTCAATACCAAGTAGACTGGACTTTGAGAGACTCTTTAGAAACTTTAGACGTTTTACATAACCATCCATGCTTTTACTTTACATCCGATAAAAGTGGTTTGGAAAGTGTCATGAGATGGTTAGAGGACATACATGACTATGATTTTAGATACGATAAGATAGAATATGAGAGAGGTCCTATAAACTGGAGAAAGTGTCATAACAAAGAAATTTTATTGGTAAGTAAATGTGGTTTGAAATAGGACTACTTGTTTTAGGTTTTTTCCATTGTGTCATTTACTTATTTGACGTGGCAGAAAGATATAGAGAATATGAAGATGAACCAATACCAGCAAATGTTCAGCATATGTACTCGTAAGAGATATTTTTATCTAATATTAAAATGGACGCACAGAACTTAGCGAATGCACAGCAACCTGGACAACCAAACCCAGAGAATATTCCAAATGAAGTTAGAATACAAACTGCAATGGCAAACTATGGTCAAGTGCCAACAGATGTACAAATGCAAACTGCCATGTCAAATGACGCTGCGTTAGGCTTACCACCATGGTATGCAAATATGAGATGGAAAGAGTTTTATACAAACCCTGAAGTGGGATATAAACAACTCTATGCAGATGACGCGAACACAGGAGTTGACCCAGAGTATGTTTTCTACCAGAGGAGAAATAGAATGTATGAGCTCCAGTTAAAGAATGCTATGGAACTCAGAAGGAAACGTAAGAGACTAGGCGGACATTAGATTTTTACATATAGTAAAATGGGTTTCTTCAGTAGTATTGGAAACTTCTTCAGAAGAGTTGGAAGAGGTATATGGAATGGAATAAAATCTGTCGGAAGAGGAATTTGGAACGGAGTCAAAAATATTGGTAAAAGAGTAGGTCAGTTCGTTGGTATTATAACCTAAAGACCCTGAACCAGAAGAACAAGCTCCTGTTATACAACAGCCTGAACCTGCACCACAGTCAAGTTGGCAACCAAATCCAACACCTCAACCGTATTAAAAAATTATATTTTTACCGTTCGATAGTAGTTGTATATGAGACTAAGTTCTAAGTAAAACGCATGGTATAATGGAATTATTCTCTTTCTTCCATCTGTAGTAAACCATACTTGAAAGTCTGAAATACTTCCACTCGGCGGTTCATATAGCTTTGTAGGTTTTTCGTAAAAGTCATTTGCCAAGCATAAAAAAGAGTTTTGTGCACCAGAAAATGAAGCATGAACTATAATAGCATCTTGGTCGAAAACATTTTCATATGTTCCATTAGGGTTTTCGACTTCATAAAAGTTCGGGTGTACTGGATATTCTGCAGGCTGATTTAACATCCTCAAAAATCTATACCATGCCAAGTTGTTATATTTTGTAGAAATATAAACGTTGTCTCCAAGGTCTTCTATTCTATTGATTTTAACAGTTGCATTTTTCCTGTCATATAAAATATCGAGATGGTACTCTCCTTCGTCAATGTTGTACTGTTTTGCATATTCGAGATAGATATCGTTTTTTTTTCTTGAAAAGCTTGAAGAGTTGTTTCTAAGTTTACAAGCAAACTAACTTGTAAAAGTTTTCCCTGTTCAAATTTCTCATACGTACGTTTCTCTTTGTTATAGTATCGAATTTCAAAACCGACCGTAAATGGGAAAACCATGTATGGCTTCTGAAATGAACTTCATTCTACGAAAGCCAATAGCTTTTGTGACGGATGGGTCTCTTAACCATCTTAGTGGGTAGTCAAAACGATAGCCTTCATGCTTTACGGTCTCTGTCTCAAACTTTTGACCGACATTCGTAAAAAGTTCATCTAATGGTTTAGTTGTAGCAACTCTTGAATTTTCTTTTTCTATTGAAAGCATATTTTATCTAGAATAAAAATGTCAAATGAAACAGCGTCTATGAGAGAAATACAACACAACCGACAACTCATTATACAAGCTCTAAATAAGAACACAACAAACTTTTCAAACTATTCTAAGATATCTGAGTCATTGAAAGAAGGAAACTTAAAACTGACATTAAACCCATTGACAGACGAGTTTCTGTTTCAAGACAGTAAGAACCATACTGTTTGTATAAATCCAACAAAAAGAACTTTAAACGAGAAACCTATAGATGAACTTCTTTTGAAAGCAGATGTTGACAACAAAGCTGACAAAGAGTATGTCATTGAAAAAGTTCAAGAAGAACATGACAGAGCAGATGCAACATATGCAACAAAAGAACATACTCATCCTGAACTAGCGGACAAAACATATGTTGACAATAAAATGTCAAGTGAAGTGACAAGAGCTGACAAAGAATATTCTAAAAAGACTCATACACATACCATTGCAAATATTACAAACTTACAAGAAACCTTAAACAGTAAAAGTGCCGTTGGACATACACATACCATTGCAAATATTACAAACTTACAAGAAACCTTAAACAGTAAAAGTGCCGTTGGACATACACATACCATTGCAAATATTACAAACTTACAAGAAACCTTAAACAGGAAAAGTGACGTTGGACATACACATACCATTGCAAATATTACAAACTTACAAGAAACCTTAAACAGGAAAAGTGACGTTGGACATACACATACATCTTCTGAAATAACAGACTTAAACGTTAGCCTTGAAAAGAAGGCAGATAAGAACCATACACACGATTTCTTCGCAACTGTTGGTATAGAAAATATTGCAGGAACGGTTGAAGAACCTGATGGAACTGGTGGGGATGCATTGTATTGGAAACCTCCTAACTTTCCACAAGGTTTAACATCGGAGGATGACATAACGACGATGAAATACACTAGATGTAGAAATGTCTATGTCATGGAGGATGAAAACAAAGTTAAATTCACTGCTCAAGATTTATATGATAAAAAAGCTGACAAAACATATGTTAACGATGAGTTAGATAAAAAAGCTGACAAAACATATGTTAACGATGAGTTAGATAAAAAAGCAGACAAAACAGAGCTTCAAACATTAAAGACAGAAATACTTCAAACAGTATATCCTATAGGTTCTATTTACACGTCAATGAACTCTACCAGACCAGAAGTAGTACTTGGTTTTGGAACTTGGACTCAAATAGTCGACAGGTTTTTGTATTGTGCAAACTCTTCAAAGGAAACAGGCGGAAGTAAAACGATTTCAGGTGAAAACTTACCTGCACACAGTCACTACATAAATTTAAGTACATCTGAAGCAGGTTTGCATAGTCATAGATTTTGGGATTGGTCAGGAATGACAAAAGGTAAAGGATATGATGTTAAAGAGGACGTTAAGTTTGCTATAAATTGTTACTGGAGTAACACTGAGGTAGGAGGAATCCATTCACATCGCATTTCAGGGTATACGCAAACAACGGGACAAAGTAAAGACTACATGCCACCTTACATGACAGTTTACGCATGGTATAGAAATGCTTAGTCGTCATTTTCAACTTCTTTAGCATATTCGTCAGGAGTTGTCTTATATTTGTTAGGAACTGTCTTTGAAAGTATACCACCTTGAACCTTAACAAGTTTTGAAACGAGGTCTGACAATAGTAGTTTTATCTTCTGCTTGCAGTCTGTACATTTTGCCATGTTTGCCTAAAACTTCATAATATTCTCTTGTATACTTTCTTCTATTTTTACGAACACGAAGGTGAGTACCTGTCGGGTTCCCATTGTTGTCATAGTCAATAGTATTTTCATATGGGTCGCGTTTAGGTATTTCTATTTTTACTTTGTCACCTTTCTTAAGTTTGAAGCCCGGCATTCTTTCTTATTTGTCTCTTTTGACTAAACTATTAAATATATAGTCTTTCTCTAAGTCGGGGTTGTTTTTCATTTCTTCGGGGGAGTGGTTTCCCAAACCTTTTTGTTTACGGCTATTGTAAATATTTAAAACTTGTCTCATCTTTGCCATGGAGAAATGTCTATATTTGTCGTCATATGACATTTCATCTACCTCACCACCTTGTGGTTGGTTTAAGTCTCTTAAGATTTTTATACAACTGTCAATGACACCAAGAGCAGAATGGTTTTGGTCGACAATGAAATATTGGTTTACATTTTTTGAACGCAGATAGTTTTTAATATCGTCTGATTTGAAAGAACTTTCACAGTCAGATGTCAGTTTTGTTGGATGGTATTTGTCAACGAATATTGTCAAAGCAGTTTTCACATCTAAAATATTTTTGGACTGTAATGGTATGGCTTCACAGTATCTTGTGTTTTGACCGACAAATATTAGCCAGTATGGTGGTCCATCTTCTCTATACCTCGGAATGTTTTCCAAGATATCCATAAACCAAGCATTTGGTGTTGAACTAAAGATTTTTACCATGAGTGCTTTCTTTGTTGCTTTAGAAACATTACGGGTCCTTGTTTGGATT